TCAAAAAGAATTACCAGGGAATTTTTGCAAACCGGGGTCAGGTTTTCTTTAAAAATATTTTTAGATTGCTAAAAGTTAACGTCATTCAGATTGTTAAAAGTTAACGTATGAAACTAATCTGCATTCCATTTTTAATAATTTCATCGAAATTGAATTGTAAAATTAAGTGCAGAAATTTGAAAAGATTTGCAATTTTTTTTCATGAATATAAAAAAAAAAGTATATAAAGAAATCTGTCAAAGATTAAAAACAGTATATTACGTTGCAATGTTGACTGAATTAAATAATTATTAAAATCTAAGGATTTTTTAGTTGAGTAGATTTAAATTTTTACGTAACAATCTGCTTATCCTTAAGAAATAAAAATAATAGCGTAACAATCTAAACTTTAAAAAAGAATTTTTTTCAAAAAAAAATTTTTTTTTTCATCAAAAAACCCCAATAAACCCCAGGTTTTTGATGAAAAACCTAGGTGGGCTAGAATTTTTTAAACCCTGTTCCTTACAAATCTGTTGAAATTTTAGTACAATTATGAATTTTAATAAATGTTGACCTTTCTATGAATTTACAGTTACTTATTACACATTGAAATATTATACGGATTTATTTAATTCTTCAAGATTTTAGGAAATAGTTTTCGATTCGGAATCTAGTTCAAAAATGTTTTCTGATACTTCTTTTCTTAGCATTTTACTTAATTCCTATAAGCTGATGCATTACCAGTAGAACTGAATTTCTGGAATTCTGTCAATTTTGAAGGTTAGTGTGGGTCTTCTACTTAGGTATCTTAAAACTGCCCCCGCCCCCAAAAAAGCACTATTTCTTCCATGTACACTATTCTTTTCTTTCTGAATGCTTCCTTCTCCTCACAGAGTATCATTCTAGGCAAAGGGCAGAATATATTAATAAAAGAACCAATATATTAATGAAATGACTTGCCTTCTTCCCCTTGTCTGTAGTCCCCCCTCCTCACATACACATTAATTTTTGTCTCTCTAAATTGCTTCACCCTCAATGCATAGTCTAATTCTAAGAGACAAAAAAACAACATTTTGTTTTAAAAAATTGAACTGAGAAATTGTTCCTATCAACCTTCGTGATGCTGAAAAATTAAGGACTTTAAAAATCTTGAAACCAAAATTAAGGACTTTTAAGGACCTTGGGAATCCTGCTCACATATTGGATGAGTTTAAAAGTTTCAGTATACCTTAGAGCTCTTTTTCTGTTGTTTGTCTTCAATCACTTCATTGACCATATCCATTTTTGGTGGAGGAATGATGGTTTCTCGAAATGGTACAATTGGTGCAGAAACATTGAAATTAATTTTAGCAAATCTAAATAATACAAATAAAAAATAATGATACATTAATAAATTAGAATTTGGTATGAAACATTTGAAAACTATAACCTTGCCATAGATTATTTAGCAAAAGTTAATGTTTGTCTATTTAATTTTTCTTTAGAAAAAGGAATAAGGATAAGTTAGTAATACAAACAACATTTAGAACTGTGTTTGTAAAGTTACTAAAAAATATGTACAGACAAATTTAACTTTTTCTTTCGTCAGTCAACATTATTATTAAAGTAATTGGCTTGCAAGAACAACAATAGCAAAATGCGGAGTGGAAAGTGCATCCCCGGAGCACATTCTAGCTTGTCTTAACATTTCTAAGGAGACTTTCGCAACGGACCCTTTGCTTGCCTTGGATTTTTTGAGAGTGTATGGACTCATGGATAATGTCTAGCTGCTGCTAGACAGTGAGGGGATTAGTCACACACACACAATAGCTTATTTTCTTTACTATATGATTTTTTTTCCATCCAACAATTTTTTAAAAAGTATTACGAACTTAAGGAAACCAAGTTTCTCTAGTCTGTTTAAACTATCATCTTTCTCATTCTTCCATTTTATTGCAGGTGAAATATTTTAATTTATGAGTAAGAATCATTACATTTTTGCTACAAATAATCAAAAAAAAATTTCCATGAACAATTTTTCAATAGTATGCTTATTTCTGTAGTTTGCACCATACAATGAATTTAGAAAGGGAAAGAAAAAATTTCAAAGTTAATATTGGAGTGAAAAAAAGCAAGGGAATTGAGAAATATGGAACATTATGGAATATTTTTAAAATAATATTTCAAAAGAAAAGCAAAATATAAATTATTATAAAGTTCTAAGCAGAGTGTAAGATTAACAACACTGAAATATCATACTAATTTAACAAAACATACTTTATGATAAGCTGCCTATTTTTGTACTTTCAAATAAATACTTTATAATACATTAAATAATATTTCTGCATATTTTTTGACAAATATAGTAACAGTGAATGTTTTTAAGAACTCTCAACTTTAGATACTTAAAAATTTCTCATATTTCCCTTACAGTATGAAGTAATTGTTGTTGTTTTTTTTAAAGTCTTATTTATGTTTCCCACAAGAAAAAAAAATTTAAGCCTAGAAGTTCAAAATTTAAATTAATAAAAAAATACATAAACTATTATTGTGTAAATTTTATACATAAGTAATTATCAACTATTATCATCAACTATATATTAGAGATGTCTAAGTATTTTTCAAGCTTATAACTTATTATGAATCAGTATCTTTTTAAGCATAGAGAAATATTTTTTACACTATTCACTTAAGAAAATTAAGCATTAATTAATGAAATTAATTAAAAGAAAGTATGACATTTATTTAAAAAAACTTAGCTTCACAAAAATAAGCACTTGATTATCTGTTTACAAAATTCTATTAGTTTCTTTCAAAAACTGCAAACAAATCTATCTTTGAAGAATAATTATTCAAAAACAATAACATTAGGATACTTTTTTATAAGTAGTGTTATATGTAGCAGCAAGATCACAATCTAAATACAACCTCTTTTATAATCTACAATGCTTGATAATATTTAAAAAAAAATACTTTAACTTTTCAGAGTAAGTCTGTATATCTCACTGAAACTGCCTCTAAATTCCATAACGTAGTTAGATCAAGGCAAGAGGATGTTTTTTTTCTCGTCTTTTTTAATATTTTAAAAAAGATTATTAGCCATTAATTGGAAAAAAAATAAATCAGAGAAGAGCAGAAAAGGCGTAATTTTTTGGAAAACATTTAATATACTTACCAGCAACCTGGAAAATTTTAAACTGTCATTTAAATTGGAAAACTCACTGCTTTACCTTTCCAATTTAAAAGAAAAATGATTTCCGTTAAAAAAGAAATAATAACAAGGAGTTTTGATATATAAAGCAATTTTTTCAAATAATAAGTTAAAATTATGGGGGAGACCAAAAACCACATGGATTGACTGTGTGGTAAAAGATCTCAAGCCATGGGATCGCAAACAAATCTCAAATAGATGGAGGAACCTAGTATCTGATCGAGCTAGATGGAAATGACTAGTTGTGACGGCCATGGTTTGTATTAGACTGTCATGCTGATGGAAGAAGAAGTAAGTTAAAAGTAATTTTTAAAATTAAAAGCCTAAAAAAACAATAACATTAAGCAAATTTAAATTATAAATTTAAATTATAAATTTAAATTATTTTTCAACATTTTTAAAAAGAAATTTTACAGAATAAGAATTTTTCACTGCATGGATAAAAATAAATTTATTCTAGAGGCTGATATTAAAACTAAACTTCAGTTTCAGAAAAAAAGTTAGATTATGAACTATAAACTAAGTAATTGATGGAGAAACTTTAATTCAAAATAAAATATATTGAAATTAAAATGAACAAGCTCAAACATCTCATTAAATTTATTTTTCAAGAATACCTTTCCTTTAAATCATCGACACAGCGTTGGAGGTGAACTTCTCCAGATGATACAAGCACATGTTCACCAGTTTCTTGAACAAAGACTTGAACACAAGGATCAGCTTGATTTAAGAGGCGCAGTCCTTTAACAAGGTCAGGCATTTCTCCTAACATTTAAATTAGAAATTGAAATTTTAAATATTTCTCATTATTGAATCTCATTACGCAAGTTAAAAAAAGATCTTTAATATCTTTTCTTATCATAGAAAAAAAGAAATATTACACTGGGGAACAAATTTTTGTTGGATAATTGGGGTGTGGAGAATTCAAATCTAAAATTAGTTTTGTTCCAAAAGCTAAACAAATTTTTTAGATGACAATTTTAGTCTATTTTTTTTTGTCAAAATATACAGTTATAAAAACGTTTTATAATACAGAGGGTAGCGTAAATGTTGCGAAAAACATCTAGGAGAGTAAGGGCACATCATCAGGATTAAAATTGCATAGGAACCCATGCCCAGAAATGATGTTGTATATGGCTAGAGGGAGTTCCTTATTAAGACTAGTTTAATGTGTTCTTACTACCATAGAAGTTTGTTGCAACATTTATGCGACCCACTATTATATATAACATTCCTAAGCTTGTACATTTTAACTAAAAATGGACTAGAAATGTCATTTAAAAAAATTTGAAGCTTCGAAAGAGAAACTGATTACAGATTTGAAATCAGCAATACAAAAATATCTAAGGTCTGTTAAAAAATCTCACACAACAGAAAACAAATAAATAAATAAATAATTGTTCCCCAGTGTTATTCTTACAAAAAATAATTTACTTCATAAAAATTATTCATAACCAAATCATAAACATAAATAAAATATAAAACAAATAAATAATTAAAATAATATTTAATTAAGAAAAAATTCATATATATGTAACTATGTAGTTAAATCATAAAAACTTTTAAAAAATCACATTAACTATATAGAGTTGTCTCAGGTTAATATTGCTCCATTTAATGCTCCACCTCTCATAATTAAGGGGGAAAGACTAATACTTTCCCCAATTTTCTAATAACATTTAATGTTTAGAAAATTTCCTATTGTGAAGAACTCAAATGCAGGTTGACTTTTTGTATTTTGTTAGTTTTTATAACAAAACAAATTTTATAATAAAAGAATAATAAAATATACTATTTTCGATTTTAGAACTATTTTGTTTACAGCAGAAACTCTTAACAGTTTTCAATATAATTTTATCAATACTGAACAACAAATAATAATTTCAAATCAATGCATGTGGCCAGTATTAGTTAGGTAATATTCTTTCCTACCAATACAAGATATAATTGAAATTTGTAATTAAGTAAAGATTTTCTTAATCAAATAATTTTAAAGAAGGATTTCAATAATCTTGAAAAAAGTACTGCTAAAAAGTAATCAATTAAATATCATGTAAAATTTTAAGTAATGAGCTCATCTAAATCCACTTCAGAATTAAAATTTTTAGCACAATTAGTAAACATTGTAAAATAAGAAAGTGAGTAGATATATTCATCAATTAAAAGTGAATACGGAAATAATAATACAGTACCACACTTTTATAAAATATTATTAGTAGTTAGTAAAATTCATCTTGTATGGATTTTTTTTTTCAGTTTGTGACTACTGAAGAGAAAATTTAGAATAACATCCATTCCTATTATATAACAAAATAAATTATTACAAAACAAACATAATTAATTAATAAATGTAACTAAAATCATTCTCATATCAATTCATCAGCTATTTAATTGGAAAAAAAACTATAACAGTGAATGAAGATATTAATTGATTTTTATTGATTTCATACGGAGATGTGTAGGTTCAACAGCAACTCTAACAATTGGAACGGTTGAAGAATGCAAATCAACAAAACTGGGACAAGCAACTGTGCTAGATAAAGTAGCCGATTTTAAAACATGATCTTCCAGTCCTCCAATGCCTAAAACAAAAGAGCAAAAATAAAAGATAAAAGAACAAAAATAAAGAATAGTTAATTTTCTATACATATTTCTTTCTTTTAACAAGCAAAACTAAACTGTATAAAACATATAACAAAGGTTTAGCAATTTTACTTGAAACTCTTTTACAATATTTAAAAAAAAATAATAATAATAAAATAAAACATGATACACTTTCCTGAATTCAAGCTAGATTCATTAATAGAAGCATAACTTGATTAAAATGTATTAAAAATTAAATAGCATCATGATTTTTTAAAACTATGTAGTTGAAACTTCTCAATGGATAATGCAAGCAACCAAAAACTGAATTCTTGAAAGGTTAAACTGCTATTGATCACAATGTTAACTCAGAACTTCTAAAATAGAAAGTGGATCATAAGTTAGAGTCTCATTTATGTAGCATTAAACAAAGAAGCCTTGTAGGTTTTTAGATTGTCTTGCCTTGAAGCTCTTTACGACTAAACGGCGCATGAGACCACAATCTCTGCCATCCATCTACTCTTGTCCTTCGCGATCTCTTTGGCAGCATTATAATTTGGCAAATTAAATTGGTCACCATACTCGGACAAGTTGTTTTCAGACTAGTGCAATGCAGTAAATGAAATTCTAAATAAGATTCAAAATTATATAGACAAAAAATTCATGATGTTATCTGAAACTCACACACCTGAACATGCAAGTGTGCTAAAAAATTATATAAAAATTTTATTACATGGAAAAATAAATTTTAGATAGTTGGCACTAAGAAATGCTGTCCATTTTTATGCAAATGTTATTAACAAAGCCTACTGAAAATTAAATTTACTCTTGTAATCTATACTAAAAAATTTAATTATTGTTTTAACTCACCAATTACATTGCCAGCAGGAACTGATGTAATTTCAATAAGTTCTTTGCCCATTAAAAGATATAAACTTTTCACAGTAGCTAAAGTGATATGTTGTTCTGGATTAAGGTCATGCACTGTAATTTCTTCAGATATAGGATTGTCCTAAAAAGTTAAAAAAAAAAAAATATTGTAAAATAATGAATAGCTAACCCCCTAATTCATTCCACTCTGACATACAGAGTCCATCTAGGATTCTGGGAAATCCAAACAGGTGTTGGTAGGAGAACTGAATTTTTTCTAGAAAAGGCTGTGGGTACTTCTTGAGAAGAAGTCATTGGTGAAATCAAGGAAGATTGGACTTTGTGCTGCCACAAGAATTTGTTTATGACTAAATATTTTTTGTTTGGTGAATAGATATATATTAATATTCTATGAACTCACAAATAGAATTGTATAACACAATTGTATATAAAAACATGTAGTCTTAAAATTCAAATAAATAATTAGATCAGATAAGAGTGATAGAAAAGTTTCACATTTAAAAAAGGTAAAAACGTTTATATATTTTGAATATTTGATCAAAAAATATTTGATTGCAGCATTTTGATTCTATACATATTATTCATTTTGTGTATGAACAAAAGCAATATGAAAAAAAATTAACAAATAATATTTTTCCCTTTATAGAAACTGTTCCTTTGTAGAACAGTAGTGTGCTGTTTGTCTTTACAACATGAATAAGTAAAAAAAAAAAAAAAAAAAAGGGGATNAAAAAAAAAAAAAATGGGGATTTAAATTATTGAATAAAAGTAAAAAAAATTTTTTTTTGGATAAATTGATTTTATTTAAATACAGAAAATAAAATAGCAACAAAATATGCAATAGTATTATAAAATAACAATACAATAAAAAATCATTAGCCTATTTGAATAATATGAATGATTGACATGTTATAGACTTTGACAAGTTACACAAACATAAACATTGAAAAGAAGAAATATCTAATAAAATTTTTATGTTCTACTGGTGTCATATTCTTATAAAAATATAGCCCATCCCCTGTAGAATTCTGATAGGAAAAAAATTAAAAACAGAAAAAATCAGATTAAACTAAAAAAAAAATGATTAAAAATAAAATTAATTAAATAAACAATCAACATACATAACATTTGAATTCTACAGATGAAGAAATAATAGAATTATATAGAAAACAGGTAAAAAAATCCATGCTGCACACATCATAGTAACCAAACTGTTATCAAATTTTCTTATATACTTTTTTTCGGAACATTAAATATCTTTTTGAAGAATTTTGCTTGAAATTAAAAAAAAAAAAAAAAAAATAGAAAATAAATTATTTTAAGGGAGCTGGGAACCATTTTTCTTGCCCACGTTAATTACAAATACCTAAGTGACAAAAAAGCAATAGTTCTGGAAATATTTAAGTAAATCTTAGTTTCAAACTATATTTATTCATTCAATAAATTCAACTACATATATCAAAAGTAAGACTTTTTTTCTCAAATGGCTGATGCGGTTTTAATGTGTTTGCATTTCATTTCGTATCACAAAAAAGGACGACTAATCTGCTGCTTTCGACAAGAAATTTAAACTGAAAGTTTTGAAAAAAGTTGTAAAAATGCTTTTTTATTTTTTAACTAGAACTGATACCTTTACACCTTTTGACTAGTTAAATTCATCAAATTGGCTAATTTTCTAAGCTAAAAAAAGTACAAAGGTACCTTTAAAAATATTGTCACCTTTTTAGCAAACTAAAGTAAATTTCTGGGCAAAAATAAGCAACTTACGGAATTTAAAGCCTTTTCCGGATCATGTTTAGGCCCTAAAACATACAGCTGCTGTCCCTTATGTACAGATCCACTGTAAATACGAGCAAATGCAACAAATGCTGTTTCATTCTCAGCTTCAGATTCCTGCTCTTTTTGATCTAGAAAATTTCAATCAAAAACATAAAACAGTTTAAAATAGCAATTTAAATTTAAAAAACAATGTTGCTGGCGTAAACGAAGTGAATTTCTTTTTTATGAGTTCTGTTATTAAAAGAAATGAAACATTCTGAATAATACTTNAGGCCCTAAAACATACAGCTGCTGTCCCTTATGTACAGATCCACTGTAAATACGAGCAAATGCAACAAATGCTGTTTCATTCTCAGCTTCAGATTCCTGCTCTTTTTGATCTAGAAAATTTCAATCAAAAACATAAAACAGTTAAAAATAGCAATTTAAATTTTAAAAACAATGTTGCTTGTTTAAACGAAATGAAACATTCTGAATAATACTTTTCCGCTTAATATAATGATATATAAAATAAAATATAATATAATATAAAATATACATACACACAATGAAAGCAGGCTCTCTTGGGACAGTTGTCCGTTTACAAGAAGGGCACTCAATTACGAAGTTTAACATATTAATTTGTTTTTAGAATAATTTCAATGACATAGAAACAATTAATCTATAAAAACTATTTACAATGATATTTATTCAAACGTTAAAAATATTTGTTTTCAATACAAAAAGAATATATGAAAAAGTTTATATATATATACATAATTCTAGATGTAGCTACAGAGAAATGAATATGTTTCTCCTATTTACACAGATGTTAACAGCCAAATGNTTATAACAAATAGACTGCGATTACCTGCCGCGAGAAAATTATCGAGTTAATGAGCACATTATATTTTTTAAAGAGACCAAACAAATTTAAAGCGTAAAGAAATTAAGATTTTGCTTATAATTCAGCACACCTCCCTCCATCCCCATGCTCTAAACAACTGCATTTTCATGAAGGGGGCGTTGAAATGTTTTTTGCTCCTTAAGGGGGCGGCAACGTTAAAAAGGTTGAGAATCTATGGTTTATACCCTTAACATCTCTATATCACTTGATAGGAAACATGGTAATAACTACTTGAAGGTGAAAAGATAAAGGATGCACACAAAAAAAATGCATACCAGTAGGGCAGTAGGCCTTATGGAGTTGATTCATTCACAATTGATCATTTATCAAGTGTCTCAATATAATTTTGACTTATATAAACACCTCAAAGACTATATTTTTGATCTCTTTTTTTTTAACCCAGCTATGTTAAATACAGTTTTCAATTTGATTGCAATTTTCAGTAGAGAAGAAGCATTGAGAGCATTTAAGATGCCATTTCAGTTTGAGGTCTCGTAGCCTGTGTCAGCCAGATGAAAGGATCAAAAGATACCGCAGTCAAAAATATTTCACAGGAGCAGTACTACTCTCTCTCCTTTCATTGCAAAGGTAAAAGAAGGTGACAGGATAATGATTAATTCTGTAACAATGAAATAGCTTAATAATATTTTTAGTTGTGGATAGGGCAAAAAAATTTACATGCTTTAAAAATGGTGGAAAGTTGCATTTTTTTTCTTTTGGAATTGAAAGCACATTTTTTTTTCTTCTTCAAATTTGGAAAAATGTTGTCCGGTTTGAAGAGATAGAAAAGAACTTTTCAGGGTAAAAATGACAGCCTGCATCCGTTTACGGGAGTGTACTTTGTAAAGAAAGTACATAATGATTTATTCATAGAAGATTCAAGGAAAACTAAAAAATATGTCAGTATTAAGAGCCCTTCACTTTTTAGCATTGTCCATAACATGAGGTTTTACTGTCTATAATATTGATTATGATAATTTCACTTCCTTCTTTTTTTATTACCAAGTATGAAAATTTACATGATATTTACCTATTTATTTGTAAGCTGAAATTATAAGTATAACTTTTAAATAAAAAGTTGAATTTGAGTCTTTTAAAAAAAATCTAAAATATATTTAATAATCTTAAAACATCTGATACTTTATATCTATTCAATAATTCAATTTCCAAGAAAATGCAATTTAAATGAGATTGAATAAAAGGCTATTTTTTTTCTCTCATAACAGAATAACCATTATGTATCATGTTTATTGCCGACTCAAAATAGCAATGAAATGTAATAAAGATTTTTGCTTTAAATTACCTTGTGGAGAAATATCAGTGCTTTCATTTTCTGAGTTTTCTTTACGCTTTTCGGCATGCCTTTGTCTTGCTGCTTCCCTTCGCAATGCAATTTCCTCAGCTGTAAGAGGCCTTAAAAATAAAATTAAAAAAAAAAACTATTATAACACTAAATCTTATTTACCAATACCAAAGATTTATTCAATATTTCAACATTCAATCATTAAATGAAATAGAAATTTTTCTTTTAATATTCCTACAAAGGGAAACCCAAAAAATGTTCATAAATAGCAATGCAATAGAAAATTAATTTTATTATACACATAAATAAAAAAAGCCAATGAAATACAATTATCAGATAATGTCTAGTTTAAAAATACAAGTTCTACTAATAAGATGATAATAAAAGACATCAAAAATTCATTAATATAAAATTTTGGTGAAATATTACATAAATCACTTAAAATTGTGCTTTTTAAATATCAAGAAATACTCAGAAAAGTATTTTGAAACTTTAGAAATGTCTAAGTCATACTATTTCTCATGCATATCAGTACAATTTAAAGCTTTTTGAGCAGGGGTTTCCAACTTACATGAGGCCGGGGGCCGCAATTAAAAACACCAGTCAAATGGTGGGCCGCAACTTTATCGAAATTTTATATAGGACTCTTTTATGTTTGAAGGAACATTAAATATTACTGTCAGATTTTTATCAAGTTGTAGATAACAAAAGTATTGAATTACAAATAATAATAAATATTTTCTTTGATGCAAAACCTGAGAAATAAAGTTTTTTTTTGCACCATTGGTATGATAAATTTCGCAGAAATGAAGAAATTAGGTTTTTTTTAACGAAAGAAAAGTATTTTAAGCTCATATAGATTTTTTACGAAAATTGCCCGCAAAAAAGTGACAACTAATATATTTTAATTTGCGGGCCACAAAATAAGGCTTTTCGGGTTGGATGCGGCCCGCAGGCCGCCAGTTGGTAACCACTGTTTTAGAGGCTAGAGGGACCAGTAATAAATAACGAACGAGAAAGAATGTTTTTAAACACCACAAACCAAAAAAATACAGCGATCAGCTTGTAACTTAATCATGTTGATTATCATATGAAATAACTACACAAATTTTATAGACCTAACTTAAATATTCATGGAAATATGGACATTTTCATAAAAAAAAAAAAAAATTTTTTTTTGACTTACGTTTTCTTATTATAACAGCAGAAATATTCAATAAAATTAAATTTTTAGAGTAATTTTTAATTAATAAAAAAAATATTTTTAAATTTTAAAAAAAATTCCTTAAAAATTGCACAAGATATGAATATTTAAAGTGATCCTTTCATACAGTGCCTGTGGGGCAAACATTTAGATTTTCTTTTCCTCATAATTTTGTTTAGAATTGTATTTATGAACTTATGAAAAAAGTCCAATTTGAATACCATGAAAATGTAAAAAGTTTTTCGCAAATTTCTAAGTAGTTTTTAAATTTTTTTTTATTGAAAACTCTAAATGATAAGTGGTCTTCCATAAATATCATTTTGTATCATTAAAAAAAACTCATAACAAATGATAATACTCTAAAATGATAGGATTAGGAAATAATGAGATGGGATTAGGAAATAAAACCTAATTTAGTAGAGTGCGATACTATATAATGCTGATGCCAATTTTAATAAATCTTGTTTAATAGTACAAAATTAAATTCCTAATTAAAACCCCTAAGCATTCACAGTTTTTTTTCCAAATTTACAAAAACTACCAAGAAAATTTCTAAAAAGAAGTTCTTTAAGAAAATTCTTAAATTTTCAAGATATTCAAATCGGACTTCTTTCCTAGGTTATTAAATACAATTCTAAACAAAATTATGAAAATATTACTTTGAATACTCATATCTTGAGCAATTTTTAAGGTATTTTCTTCAAATTTTAAAAAAAATGTTTATCATTAATTAAAAATTACTCTAAAATTTTTTTTAGCTTTAATTAATATTTCTGCATTATAGTAAGAAAACATGAGTCAAAAAATTTGTGTTTTATAAAAATATCCATATCTTAATGAATATTTAAGCTACGTTTGTGAAATTTTATGCAGTTATTTCACATAACAATCAACATAATTGACAGCAGTTACAAGCTAACAGCTGTATTTGTTGGCATGGGAGGGACCAAAAGCATTTTTTTGTTACTAATTTATTGTTGGTCCCTCAAACCTCTAAAAGCTTTATGAGAAATTGCATGACTTAAACACTTCTAAAGTTTTAAAATTTTTCTCAAGCATTTCTTGGGAAATATGAAAAAAAGAGTTAGTTTAGAAGTGTTTCCATTATTTTGTCCAACTCCTGCGTATAAATGTAATCAAAATAAGTTTTACAATATAAATAACTATACGATTCATCATTAACTGCAAAATATTGAGTAAGTGGTATAGAGTTGTGTATGTGGAAGAAAATGTAATACAAAGTCTCTGACTTTGTGTTATAGAGTCTTAAAGTTACTGATTAACGAGACAATATTTACAACACTTTTAACTTTAGACATTTTCTTAAAAAAATTTGAATGGGTCAAATATTATCGGGTGAAAATTACTTATAAATCTTCAAACAGCAAAAAATAGTTCGTATTAGATTATACGCTTTTAAAATATGTTTTTATGATTGAAAAAACAATCTTTAAAGGACAAAAAACACTATTTTCAGATAAGTTCAAAAATTTCAGTATTAGTTAAGTCTTAAGTATGCTAAACATTCAATTCGATCATCTTTACATAAAAAAATAAAAAAGAACAAATATATAAATAAATTAAATTGAGAATAAGTTACCCATAATTAAAAAGGAGCCATAAAATCTTAATAAAGCATAAAAAACTGTCATTAAAAAATTATATAAATAAGTAAATAATAATTACTATATAAACTAAAAAGGTATAAGCAACAAGGTCTTTAAAACTGTATATAGTAATCACAGTTCTTTTCACAATATTAGAAAGTATTCAGTTTTTATAACAGTATTTCTTTCTATCTTTTTTTTTCTTTATGGATTCATGAAAAAAAAAACATTTTTTTTTTCAAATCAAAAACTAGCTTTAAATTTCATTATAAACTGTTATATTCGTATGCAAAATTTAATTTCAAAATTTAATTTCTAATTTTAAAAAATCAACCTTTGTCTATTTTCAGGCAACATTTTCCTTTCCACTGGAAACATTTTTGAAACACATATAATAACAGGAGCATTTTCAGAAGATGAGCATTTCATGAAATCTGACAAAATATAAACAAATAAATGTTAAGTCATTTATACATCAACAAATGAAATAATGAAAAATAATTTATGATATAATACAAGTTTTATCAGTGTTAAAGTTAAATAAAGCTTGTGTCACGCGTAGGTAGGGTTCACACCAGCATACCGACAGCTGTCGTCAAATGTTCTACAAATTTCACTGAAATCAAATGCATAAGCAACATATTTATCGTCTTGAAATATGATTAGAAATTACAAAACATTAATAACTACACAAAAATTTCTATAGAATTCCATGCATTTAAAAAAACTTTGTTGTACTAATTTTATTGTTCTACGCTATGGTATGGAAATCAAATGTGTTGTATTCAAATGGAATAACTGAAAGAGTAAGGGAACAAAATTTTTTTAATTTAAATATTGAAATTTCAAATTTACAAACTGTGCAGTGCTTTGCATTTATGTACTCGCAGTCTAATTGTTCATCAATACAATAATTTTTTCTTTTAGAGTTGACTTTATTTAATATTAGATAATTTTTAGATAATTAATTATTAATATAATATTTTGTTTGCCCTCATTTTCTCTATTTTCCTCATTTATTTATTTGGTCTCAGCATTTTAATTTCTATGTTGAATCTATTTAGTAATATTATTTTAGATTTTTTCACTTAAATTAAGTAAATACTGATCTTCAAGTATTATAAGGTAATGAACTTAATTACTTTCAAGGTATTATCGATGACAATAAATAATTTTTGATGAGTACAATGACACGAATTATGTAATTGTGATGATCAATTTTTTTCTGTAATTTTTCTACCATATTAAGTTTTCAGACCACTAAATGAATATTTAAGTAGTTCTATTGGACAACTAAATTTTAATTGCTGACATGAACGCTACACGTAGGCAAATAAATTTCTTGTCATTATTTACATTTTATTGAACCATGCATTAAATAGATAATATTAGAAGCAACATAAATAAAATGTTTTTATTTATGCAACCTATATAATAGAATTATTTGTAGCAGGGAAGCGCAATATTGCCAAGGGCTGAATGCAAAATTAAATATAAAACTTATTTTCTTATTTTCAGGTGATATTTTCTTTTACAAAAGCAGAATTTTTGAAACTCATATATTACTATAACACGAACATTCTCAGGTGAAGAATATTTCATAAAATCTAAGTGTAAAAAAAATATGCTATAGTTATTTTTATATTTACGTATGAAAAATTTAAGAAAATAATTTAATATCAATTTTAGAGTTTTTATTAGTGTTACATGAAATTCAAATTCCTTCCTACCACAAGTATGCAAATAAATTCTTTTTTATCATTGTTTGCATTTAACTTCGCAAACATCAGATGGTTAGATAAATATAATTTTTACTTTCATTGGTTACAAATTTTCGAAGGAAAAAACCTCCTCAGTCAATGCATTAACTTTGAAAACTACTGGTGTTTAGGACCCAAAACTTCTAAATTTATTCTAAAATCAGAACATAAAAATAAAAAGCATGGTAATTCAGTATATGTTACCACCAGTAATATTAATCCTAATGAAATATGAATCGCTAATAAAGAAAATAATGAAACCAGAATTTTTATAAGAATTGCAAAAATATTAACCTTCAATATTTAGTTTTTCTGATCCTTACAGATGCAGTAATTAGTTATCATAGTTTAATAACATTTGAAAATGACAAATTATACAGTAGGACATGACTTTTAGACATGAGTTAGATATGAAAATTAATTTTCATAATGAAATTTGATAGGGAGTTTAATAAAATTTGTTAGGCGTTCCCAATTTATTTCAATTACAGAATCTTAATTCATTGACTTTTTTTTAGCATGACCCTGAATTTATAAATAAAGTTTACAAGCAGTTATTTTATTTATTTACAAAGTAAGACAAATAATTATTTTGAAAGCATTTAATGGAAATAATAAAAAATAATCATTATTTTATCAATGATAGTCTTAAAATTTGGGTTTGTGTTAGACATGTGAACTTTCAGACCTGGAGAGGAATCTATTATAGTTTTAAATTTGTTTTTAGTGTATGCATAAGCTTAAGATAAATAAAATAATTTGAATTTTGATTTTTGTTGAAATAAAAACAAAAAACTGTCTTAAAAATTGACAATGACTTTCAAGAAAACATATTTTTCTATTTTGGAATTTAGAAAATTTTCAATTTTCTTATTTTGAATTAAAAAGTTCAATGAAGAATACTATGCATATTATGCTAATAATTATTCAATATATTGTTATAAATAAAAAAAATTCTTTTTTCTTTTAAATTTTACTCTTTTTTTTTTCTTCTTTGGCAGCAGTGAAATATCAAATAATTAATTAATCAAAATTTGATGTAAATCTAATCACTGGTTTCAAAAGTCATCGCTTCCCTTGAAAAAAGTCCAACTCTCAGAGCCTTCATGTCTCTTCCATAGAACTTTAGGTTTCCGTGAAACACCTTTTGGCAACCACTGACTTACGGTCCTGAGTGTGGTAAGAAATGAGTATAATTCACTCCATTAAGATAATTTGAATTTAAATTATATTATAAATTAGTTAACAATTTGGTATACTGAGAGTATGTCTATACATTAGTAAATTTAAAAATAAAAATAAGAAACAAATCAAACCAAAATCTTGATTTAAAAAAATTCTTTTTTACCTGTTTTTAATTTCTGTGTCTCAATTGGTAAAGCATCAAACTTAACAGCACTTGAGCACATAAGACCCTCAATTTTATCTTCACTCAATTCAAATGGACTTGGAACAAATTCACACACCATCGCTACAAGATAGATTTCAGAGTGAGATAAGATTTTTGTTCATCATCAAGATTTTTTAATTGAACAGAAGATTTTTGTTCATTCATTGTATCTAATATATAATTATTTGCATTGTAGATCTTAGATTTTGAGATTTAATGCTCTTCTATGTTATTAAGGATTTAGTGATGTATTGCTTCATTAACATTAATTTAATTTTATTTTTGTTCATTACATTTAGTTTTACATTAAATAAGTTTATAAAAGTTGAATAGATGTTAAAAAATAAATTCTGATTAGAATAAAAAATTTTATAAAATGTTAAAAATATCTTTCAGTTGACTGTTGTTGTTTTGAAACCCTAAAATGGTCCATCTAAATTTGAATCAAATTCAGATAACAATCCAAAAAGGCCTCTAAGAGAAGCGGTCATAAGAGGGGCAAACTGTAGACTCCAAAGTAAAACTGGAAAAGCTTACAATGTAAACAAACCTGAACATTCCTGTACTTAGTCCTCAACCAAAAAATCTCCTGCCTTTGCACATAGAAGACACCCCACAAAGTACACAAGTGTCCCCTGACAAAATGTGATATACAATTTTGCTGGCTATGGCCCTCAAAAAATAAAGAATAACCAGGGTGATGTCCTGAATACTAGTCATGTACTAGATAGGCATTCCACAAAGTCTTAAAAAACAAGGTGAGTAGCCAAATTATTCAACAAAAAAAGCACCTTTTAAGCCCTCTAAAAAAATATCATAACTAGGCAGGGTTGGAAAGTTTTTGACTATTGATGGTTTTACCAGGTTTTAACTGTCATGCCCCCCCCCTACNAATTTGTTAGGCGTTCCCAATTTATTTCAATTACAGAATCTTAATTCATTGACTTTTTTTTAGCATGACCCTGAATTTATAAATAAAGTTTACAAGCAGTTATTTTATTTATTTACAAAGTAAGACAAATAATTATTTTGAAAACATTTAATGGAAAGAATAAAAAATAATAATCATTTTATCAATGATAGTCTTAAAATTTGGGTTTATGTTAGACATGTAAACTTTCAGACCTGGAGAGGAATCTAGTCTAGTTGGAATTTAGAAATTTTTCAATTTTCTTATTTTGAATTAAAAAGTTCAATGAAGAATACTATGCATATTATGTTAATAATTATTCAATATATTATCAATAAAAAAAGTTTCCTTTCTTTGGCATAAGTAAATTTTAAATAATTAATGAATCACGATTGGACTTAAATCTAATCACTGGTTTAAAAAGTCATCGCTTCCATTGAAAAAAGTCCTAACTCTCAGAACCGTCAGGTGTCTTCCACAGAACTTTAGGGTTCCGCAAAACACCTTTTGGCAACCACTGGCTTGTGGTACTGAGTGTGGAAAGAAATCTCAAAAGTTCGCACTTGAGTATAATTCACTCTATTAAGATAATTTGAATTTAAATTATATTACAAATTAGTTAACAATTCGGTATACTGAGAGTATGTCTATATATTTGTAAATTTAAAAATAAAAATAAGAAATAAATCAAACCAAGATCTTGATTTGAAAAAAAATTTTTTACCTGTTTTTAATTTCTGTGTCTCAATTGGTAAAGCATCAAACTTAACAGCACTTGAGCACATAAGACCCTCAATTTTATCTTCACTCAATTCAAATGGACTTGGAACAAAATCACACACCATCGCTACAATATATATTTCAGAATGAGATAAGATTTTTGTTCATCATCAAGATTTTTTAATTGAACAGAAGATTTTTGATCATTCATTATACCTAATACTATATAATTATTTGCATTGTAGATCTCAGATTTTAGGATTTAATGTTCTTCCATGTCATTTAGAGCTTAGTGATGTATTGCTTCATTAACCTTAATTTAATTTTATTTTTGTTCATTACATTTAGTTTTACATTAAATAAGTTCATAAAAGTTGAATTGATGTTAAAAAATAAATTCTGATTAGAATAAAAAATTTTTATAAAATTTTAAAAATGTCTTTAAGTTGACTGTTGTTGTTTTGAAACCCTAAAATGGTCCATCTAAATTTGAATCATATTCAGACAACAATTCAAAAAGGCCTCTAAGAGAAGTGGTCATAAGAGAGCCAAACTGGAGAGACTCCAAAGTAAAACTGGAAAAGCTTACAATGTAAACAAACCTGAACATCCCTGTACTTAGTCCTCAACCAAAAAATCTCCTGCCCTTGCACATAGAAGACATCCCACAAAGTACACAAGTGTCTCCTGAGAAAATGTGATATACAAGTTTGCTGGCTATGGCACTCAAAAAATAAAGCATAACCAGGGTGATTTCCTGAATGCTAGTCATGTACTAGATAGGCATTCCACAAAGTCTTAAAAACAAGGTGCGTAGCCAAATTATTCAACAAAAAATAAGCACTTTTCAAGCACTCAAATAACATTTTTAAGCACTTTAAAAGAATATCATAACTAGGCAGGGTTGGAAAGTTTTTGACAATTGATGGTTTTACCTGGTTTTTAAAAAAAAAAAAATAAATAAAAATTTGGTATTGCTTTAGACAATTGTCAAAAATCATGAAATTTAGAATCATGTAAAACGAATGGCGTTTTCATACACTAGGGACTGACAATATGCTAAAATAGATTGGGGTTAAGCTAATTGTGAAAACGTTGAATAAAACAATGTGAACTGTGTCTTTTTGCATAATTCGTGGCGAAAATCAACATTGTCAGGGAAAAATCTCATTTTGAAAAAGGGAAAATTAAGCACTTTTTAAAAACAACCAATGAAAAAAAACACCTTTAAGTTCTTTCAAAAAAACGAAAATCGAAAATAAGCAACTTTAAGCACTTTTTAAAAATGCTACCACCCTGTTAAATGAATTTCTTTTCTTTTTTTGCACTTGAAGAACAACAGTGCAAATCATATCTAACTGGGTATTCTCTAAAGCAAAGAGAATTTCCTATCTCATTGCTACTAATATTAACATAAGAGGGGAACTTTAGGTAGTTAATCAAATAAATACTGTAAACTCATAACAAATCATTACTAATAATTTAACATATAACAATAACAAAACTTGCTTGGAAGCATTTTATTATCAGATCAATGTATGGAACATACAAACCTAATACTGCTTCTGCTAAAGTAAGCCATTGTCCAAAAATAGCTTTAAGAGGAATTTTCGGATCTTTGTGGTTTGCATCTCTTGGTGCAATTGTCAAATTTAAAGACTTTGTTATTTTTTCTATCATAGCTTTATCCCTGAAACAGAAATTATTATTAAATAAGTTTTTTAATAAAAACTTAATTGTTTTTTTTTTAAATATAAAGGAAAAATTATTGCCTAGTCTATAAAGATGTACTACTAACAGTCCTTTGTATTTATTTATATCCTATGCAATGGACTTTGGTAAAAATAACAGAGATTAGCTTCTTAGATTGTAAAAGTAGCCTTATAGATAAGTGTATGTAACTAATGATAGAAAATAATTAATTATAAAATTAGTTCGAAAAACTTTTTTATTAAATGTCCTAAGAAGGATAATTCTATGAATTTCTTTGTTTTTGTTGATATACAGCTTTCTCTTCCGAAAAAAAAAATTTCGATTCCAAAAATCTCTTATTAGACCTGTCTTAATGCATAATTCAGAAACCTGGTTTATAACTATAATTGGAAAATACAAAATAGCGGTTTCTGGCAGAAAGGTTTTCAGAAGCATTGTTGGGGGAGTAAAAAAAGTTATCATAAGACGTTTTAACTTCGACATTTATTGAATTTTTAAGGAATCTGATATCATTAAGAGTATTAAAAACAAAAACAAACAAAAAATGGGTTTATCATAATGTCATAATGGATTAAAAAGATCCACCAAAGAAACTTGTGTCAAAGTTCTCAAATAGTCAAAAGGAGAAAGGCCAAAGAAACAGAGGCTTGACTCTGTGGAATTAGATTATAAAGCGATTGGTAGAAAAGACCAGCAGTCGAGGTTAAAAAAAATAAAGATTGTCTTGGAAGAATCTTCAGCAGAGTGCTTTGGCCACCCAGAGCCATCATGCTAAATATAATCATGAGTTAGAAAAATTAAATAAATAGGAGTTACTATAGCTGGAAGCAAAACTGCTTAATAAATAGAACTTAAAGATAGAACTTCAGAATAATCAATTTACATAGTTAGAAGATTTTATATAAGATATTACAATATATAAGTACAACTATAAGATATTTTTAATAACAATTTACAGTGAAAGTATAAAAATAAGCTTAAAAATGGTTAAAATAAGATGAAAACCAAGAAAATCACCTTTGAATCAAAACTGCTTCATAGACAGACCATATATTTTCTAATATAAACTGTACAAATAATGGCTTCTTTGCTTTAGTCTGAAAAATTAAACAAAGCTTAACTGAAAATAAATTGAAATGTTTTTTACAAAATAAAGCACTTTTCAATTTATAAATTAACTTGATTTGATACTTGAATAAACAATAAAGCAATTTGAAGAGACACAAACAACAAATACAGTTTTATGTGTATTTTATGTGCATAGTTGATGATTTAAGAGTTTTTCTATTTAAGAATTTGTGAATCTGAAACATATCTAATCCCAAATCAGACAATTTATGTTACGTGAAAGAGTATTTTAGTTGTTTAATTGAAAAAAAAACTTTAAAAAAATTTAGATGATACAGCATTTATAATAGTTTGATGAGTCATGAACTTTTAAGTTAATATGTAAACTGAACAATTTGTAAAAAATAAAATCTTTACAGGAATACCTCATAAATTCTGGTTCTATCATGCATTGAAATTATTTTAAATTAATATAATGTAATACACATAAAATTATAACAAGATAATTCAAATAAATTACCTGAGCTCCTTTCATAATTTGTTTAGTTTTGGAGTTGTAATAAAAGTCACCCCAAAGAGTTTTCTTCAAAACCTTTTCCCTGGCACCCAACTTTGTGGAATATATTTTTGCAAAGTGTGATACTCTAAACAAACAAATCAAAAGTAAAAATTTAGATAAGACGAAAAATGTAGAATTAATAAAAATACTAACAGAACTTGACTTTATTATTTTGTCGTAATATAAATTTCATACTGTTTAATAGTAATGATAATTTTATATCTTTTTTCCTGTTTTTTATTCAAAATAATTTCCTAATGGTACATGTTTCGCTAAGAAAATGTTTTCCGAAAAAAAGTTAAATAAATAAAACTAGAACTCATTTATAAGAATGAAGAAACTAAGGCAGCTTGTTCAGTAAAACCTAAGTTTTAAGAAATTATTTTAGACAAAAGCTATAATGAGATAAGGTGAAATATCTAAATTCCGCAATTTTAATCTAATGAAAAAACACCCTCTTGATTTTCAATTTTTTTGTTTCGAAAATGATAACATTTAACAAGAGAACAGAAGAAAAAAAATAATTTGGGTCAAGAAATTTTGTTTTTGTCCCTCTATATTAAAAAATAGTATGGACCATCTCCATTGTTTAGGATGTTCAGCTTAATGTTACATTTTGATTTACTCTGCTAAAACAATAAGATTTTTANAACCTTTTCCCTGGCACCCAACTTTGTGGAATACATTTTTGCAAAGTGTGATACTCTAAACAAACAAATCAAAATTAAAAAATTAGATAAGATGAAAAATGTAGCAATTAATAAAAATACTAACAGATCTTGACTTTATTATTTTGTCATAATATAAATTTCATACTGTAGTAATGATAATTTTGTTTTTATATCTTTTTTCCTGATTTTTTTTCTTCAAAATAATTTCCTAATGGTGCGTGTTTCACTAAGAAAATGTTTTCCGAAAAAAAAGTTAAAATAAATAAAATTAGAACTCATTTATAAGAATGAAGAAACTAAGGCAGCTTGTTCAGTGAAACCCAAGTTTTCAGAAATTATTATAGACAAAAGCTTTAATGAGATAAGGTGAAATATCTAAATTCTGCAATTTTAATCTAATAAAAAACACCCTCGTGATTTTCGATTTTTTTATTTTAAAAATGATAACATTTAACAAGAGCACAGAAGGAAAAAAATTATTTGGGTCAAGAAATTTTGTTTTTGTCTCTCTATATTAAAAAATAGTATGGACCATCTCCATTGTTTAGGATGTTCAGCTTAATGTTACATTTTGATTTACTCTGCTAAAACAATAAGATTTTTAAAAAAATAAGATTTAAATAAATAAGATTTTAAAAAATAAGATTTTAAACAATAAGATTTAAATGTTATTGTTATATTTTGTTAACAAGTAAAATTACATCTCATTTATTCTTTTTTATTGTATCACACATTCTGGATTTTTAACTTTAAATAATATTTTTTTCAAGTACAATTGACAATTTTTCATATCCAGGAATCTTTTCATGTCATTATGATTAACATATTAACAAAACAGGCTATCATAAAGTTACAATAACTATATATCCTATTAACAACTTTTTTTAATTACTTATTTCTCAACACCAATAAAAATTTGTTATGAAAAATTTTAATCAAACACTAAAAAATTTGTTCACAAAAGAGAGAGTGATCTCTCATGTTTCAAATCTTTAAGAAAAGAAACAATCAGAAACTTCAAGAATTTTTAAACTACAATCTAAATAGAGGAATTAACACCAATCCTTTGCTAGAATTTTTCAATTAATTTGAGATTGTTTCAAAATTGACAAAGTCACGATTTTTTAAAACATGAAATGACATAAAACATTCAGCCACCCTATTTAGGTATTAGTTACAGTTCCTGATAACACTCTAAAGACTGTGTTCTTATATAAAAGTTGAGAGTTTCATAATTCTTAAATAAAAGTATTTTACCTAAATCCCCAACCATCTAATGCACTTGCAAAAACAACATTTCCTTGTTCAGGTGAAAAATAGACTTTAGAATCATCTGAATCATCTAAGCCACTGCTCCAATCAAAAGTCTACGAGAGAAAGGGATCACATTAGTTATAAAATTGCCTTAGTACATAATTTAATTACGAATGTATGTTATAAAAGAATATCAAAGTAATTAGAAAGGCACATTTAGAACAGGTATACAAGCATGTAGTAGTACATTTTGAGATTACTGTACCATCTTATAAACTCCTAAAAATGTCTTTTGAAGTTTCAAAAGTGGAATTAAAAAGGAAATTTAAGGTGGAAGGTACTAATTTAAAATAACTGAAGATCTTCTTTTTATAAGTAAATTTATTGATTGCTTGATAAACAAAATCATATGTAATAAATTGCATTCATTAAAAGTAGTTGAAAACTAAGATTCATTGCTAAAGACATTTGTTAATGCTAGATTCATTTACTTTTTCGAATTTCAATCACTTTACATAAAAATTTAACAGTGCCCAAATAATATAGATGGCATTGTAATTAACACTGAATGTAATTAATACATTACTGTTAATACAGATTACATTGTAGGTGACAAAATTGAAAAAATGTATTACAATGGTGGCAAGTTAAATAAAAGAGGCCTTAAGAGGTCGCTCATCTCTCGACCAAACTCAACTGTTGAAGAGGTTAGAGATCAGGTGGCAAAAATATCTAAATATACTGTTTTTCCCTTTTATTTAATTTTCATAAATAAACTAATGGTGGATATTTACTCTGTTTGACAGTATCATTCAAAGCAAGTAAAGTACAAGGCTGTCATCCAATCAAAATTATAGATACAAAGCGTGTGGTATTTTAAATTCTGTATGAATTTTTTCTGACATTATCATACCAATACGATTCTGAAACTAGCCGTTTTTGAAAGGTATTACAATTATAAACAGTTGTCTGTTCTAAGATTTGTAATAAATAATTTTGTTTTTGAGCAATATACATTTAAAAGAATTTTTTTAGCATCAACAAAATTGGTTTTCATCAGTTAAAACTCAAATAAAATTAAATTTTAAAAAAATAAAAACTGGCTAATATATAATTTTAAATTTCTTAGTCAAAACCACAAATTGCATTATTTTATTGCCTTAAAGTTTTGAAAAAAAATTCATAGAACTTCAAAAACCTGTTAAATGCTATTTCTCCAAATCTAATAAAATGACCTATTTTTGAAAAGTATCGTTCTGTAGAATCTCTTAAAGTTTCATTAAATACACAAAAATGATTAACAAATTTGATTACATTATAGTATTTATTGCATAATTCAATTACTACTATTCAATAAAAATGCATTATAATTAATTTTTAACATCTTTAAGACTTTGCCACCAACAGGAATACGAATTTAATATTTCATAGCTAGAAAAAAGAAGAAAAAACTACAAAAAAAAGCACCTGTTGACAAGCTTCTACTTTTTCAACTTCTTCCTTTGGTTTCTAAACGTAAAGAAAAGTATGATTCATATTAAAACATTATTTACATATATAACAACTAATATAATTTTTAATTTTTGTTACAAGAATTAAGTTAAAATATGATATTAAAATGAAGCAAAATTAATGGAAAAAATAATTGAAGCTTAACCAAAATATATAATTATGAAATAAATCAAAATTTTGAAGTCATATTTCACAAAAAATTTACTTTGTGATGTTTCACACGAAATTTACAAAATTACTTATAAACATACTATAGAGCAAAATTTTAAAATATAAAAGACTTAATTATTCAATTTGTAAATGAAAACTAGTGTCAAATTGATTGATTGCATGGAATTGTATAACACAAGATCTGGATATGACCTTATTGAACTGACCACAATGAAAAAATGGGACACATTAGTTATTCAAGACAGCAAAACTATATGAGACCAAACTATGTCTGATGCACAAAAACAGGAGTAATACAATAAAACAAAAAAAATGAAGGAAATTCAAGACACAAATATATACTTGGAGAAAAAATCCTTGAAGGAAAAAATTTCAAATATTGATCAGTTTTATTTAAGGTGCATTATTTGGTTCAACAAAATGTTATACAAAGATAAATAATAAAGAAAAATACCTGAAGATTTTCTTGCCGCTTATCTTCTTCTTCAGCTGCTTTCTATTGAAAATATAAAACAATATATAGTGAATAAAACTAAGTTATATAATTTTCTTAGATATTACATAATAATTAAAAAAAAGTTACAAAGAAAAAGATAATTATTTACTCTTAAATTTACTTATATGTAGTAGTAATATTTTATTTATGTCACACTAGAGCTGCACAATGACCCATATGCCATGGCTTGGGAAACATCCCTGATATTAATCCGAAAGCATGCTATTACAATTTTGGTCCTCTGCAGAGGAAATGGCCCCCCACCTCAGATTTTTTTAAAAATGGTATTTTTATGCAAAAAAGTAAAAGTCTTTCAATTTTTAAAAAACGAATTAAAAATGTGTACATAAAGAGTAAAATAGATTAAATATGGAAAAATTAAGGGAAAAAAGTAATTACAAGAATCCGAAAAGCTAGTTTTCCTAATAAACCTACAACCTATCAAGAAGTGAACCATCTAATGGATCATCAACCGAAGTGGACCAACCTATCAGATAATAAAAATCAATTGGGACAATCATAGAATACTGCTTTAATTTTTTTAGGAGAAACATAATTATCTAAAATATTAGCTGGTAGACCAGCTTCACTAATTTAAAAAAAATTGAATTTTTTCTCTATTTTATATATTTATCGAAGTTATCTCTGTCTTATTTTAAAACTAATACATCTCAATCTAACTTGATTAGAAACTTCATTGGTTTAAAAAAAAATATGAAAATGATAACAAAAGTCGACAAGCGCTCAAAAATAGGTAACTATTCTCAAGAGTTGTCAGACCTGATTGAGAAAAACAAAAGTGCTCTGTAATGGGAAACATAAAATTGCCAATGAAAAATAAAGTTAAAAAACAAAACTAAAAAAAACGTAGTAGCCGAGACTGAAACAAAAAAAGTAAATAAAGCTAAAAAACGAAACAGAAAAAACCACGGCGGACAAAAGAGGCAAGTTAGAGCAAAACGTTTTTTCATGCTTTATAGAGAGGTCGCGAGAAACTCTGGTGGTTAACAAGGGAATTAGCATTCATATGAATGAAACAAGATTTCAGGGCATCAAGATGAGTTGATGTTACAGGTGTGGAAATAATTTTGGCATTGTCAAAACTAAATTTATGTCCAAGATTCTACTAATGTGCAGCAAATGACGAGTTATTGTATTTCTGAAAACGAACTCATCTATCAAGTCTTAGTTTAAACTTCAACGTGCCTCTGGTTTCTTCTTAGGGCCTGGAAGATGTATTTTACCCTTATTTCTTGCTCTCAGCCATAACTGTTTCCTAGTTTTGTTTTTTTTATTCTTATTTATTTTTTTTTATTTCACTCTCAGTTACCACGGTTTTCCTAGTTTTGTTTTTCCCCTTTACTTTTCACTGGCAATTTTAAGTTTCATGTTTCCAATCATTTTTGTTTTCCTCACTCTAATCTGGCATGAATTGAGAGTGGGCATCTATTGCTGAACACTTGAAACATATAAACGTTTATTTCGATCTTCAGATTTTTTAAGCCAATATAGTTTTTAATGAAACATTTATTTTTGCTTCAGTTTCTTGGAATCATTTATTCAATTCCTCTATCTAATTTCTGCTGGCAAAAAGAGAGTACCTAGTTTTGCTTTTCACCTCTATTTTACATTGGCAATTTTAAGTTTCATGTTTCAAATCATTTTTGTTTTCCTCACTCTAGTCTGGCAAGTATTGAGAGTGTGCATCCATTGATGAACATTTGAAACATATCAACGTTTATTTGCATCTTCATATTTTTTAAACCAATATAGTTTTTAATGAAACATTTATTTCTCCTTCAGTTTCTTGGAATTATTTATTCAATTCCTCTATCTAATTTCTGCTGGCAAAAAGAGAGTACCTAGTTTTGTTTTCCAAGTTTTGTTTTTCACCTTTAAGTTTCATGTTTCAAATCATTTTTGTTTTCCTCACTCTAGTCTGGCAAGTATTGAGAGTGTGCATCTATTGATGAACATTTGAAACATATCAACGTCTATTTCCATCTTCAGATTTTTCAAACCAATATAGTTTTTAATTAAACATTTATTTCTGCTTCAGTTTCTTGGAATCATTTATTCAATTCCTCTATCTAATTTCTGCTGGCAAAAAGAGAGTACCACAAATTAGATAAAATAGTAAAAAACAATACATTTATCAAATTTTAAAGCTCTTTGTCTTAAAATGAACAAAAATGAATATGATCATTTCTCAAATAAAGCTTTTGAGTATAAGTCATTACATATTAATCACCTAAAAATAACAAAGCAAACAAATAAACATACATGAAATATAATGATATTTATTTAAACAAAATTAAATATAAAAGCATTCTTAATATAGAGAATAAAAAATATGAGAAATAATGTGAAGTAATAAGACAGCTGAACAGTAAATTAGCAACTTCAAAAAATAATTCAAATCAATTAGTGTTTTCAATGCTCTTGCACTTTAGAATCACACATTCATTAAATATTATTTCAAACAAAAATGCTACTGAAATGGTTTTAATTTTTTATTAAGTTTAAAGGATAAGTCATTTGTTTCTCATGCAGTAGTGTTAGAGCTAAACATAACTCTGTATGCCGTTAAATTTAAACTGTTAAAGCTTAGGGTATCTTTTGTGATAACTTGTGCTTACACAAAAATAAATATCCTGAATTTATAGTTTTCTCTATCATATAAGGCAAAATGAGTATTGTGTTATTTAATAGGGTGCATAGCCAAATCTTTCAATAAAAAATAAGCACCTTTTAAGTATAACTTTTAAAACACATAAAAATCATTTTAAGCACTATACACATTAAGAAAATGGAAAAGAATTTTCAAAGACTTTACATGATCATGATCAAATAACTATTTTCTGACAAAGAACTCTTTTTTTATTATATTAGCCATTATAAAATGCTCAAGAGATTTTTTGGTTCGATATCAGAGGGTGTAAAATAGAGTCTAGAATTGTGAATAGCTGGCTAAATCAGCAGAATTGCACATAAGAGTGCTAGAATATCACCGAACGCAGCTCAGTAAACGCACATGCGGACTGGCAAGTATTTCATCAAACATGTAAAAGGATTGGCTCTTTCATACGCTACAGACCAACGGTACACCGAAATGGATTGAGGTTGAATAAATTGTAAAAACTTTAAATAGAACAATGTGAAAAGAACGTTTTTGCATAATACGTGGTGAATATCAACATGATAAAGAAAAAATCTCATTTTTGAAAAGGGAATATTAAGCCCTTTTTAAAAAACCACAATGCAAAAAAGCCCCTTTAAGGGCTTTTGAAAAACGAAAATAAAAAACCAACATCTTTAGGTACTTTTTAAAAGCGCTATGCACCATATTTAAAAATGTTTATTCTATCAAACATGAAGAGAATCATTCATATTTATTATTATTTTGCAGTAAACTTCATGCATAACTATTCAAAAGTTAAAAAAAAGTATCAAAATAAAAGTAAAATATATTTACATTTTCAGACTTTTTATGGACATCTGAAGCAAAAAGTTCTCCTACAACAGCATTTATCTAAATATAAAAACCACAAAAAATTTCAGAATAATTTCATAGGTAACATGTGAAGCACAATGATGATGAGCATCAGAAAAAAATATATATAAAAGGGACACTGGTGTCTTTTCTATGTCAAAAAGTTGACCTCCCTCAAGGAGCTGTGGGAATCATTTACTTAAGTTATATTACTTTACAATACATTTTTACTCAAGTTATATCATCTTTTAACACAACATTTTGTGCATTTAATGCAGCTAATTATTATTTTTTAAATGAAAGGAGTAGTAATGATAGACATACAAAGTAACTCTTCTTTCCAAATGATCCTTTTTTTTTCTTTTTTTCAATAACTAATTTAATTGAGATATAAATATCTCTCTAACATGGGAAAAGAACAATAAAAGACATCAAGATTTAAAAGAAATCACTGATAAAATAATACAAATGGAAACATAATTAACTTATGATCTCCTTACTTGTTCTAATATCTGTACTAAGTGTGCATAGGCATCCAATGGGGTCAATTTCCATTCTAAAATTAATCTATCAATTTTATTTAAAACAAGAAGAGGCTGTATATGTTCTATCCAAGCTTGTTGCAGAGCAATTTTTGTCTGGAAAAAAATATAGCACATGAAATGAAACTGTTTAAATAGCTATTGAAATTTTAAGAATTGTTCTAACATAGCATAAAAATGACAAACTGTCACAAACGTTTTTTCAATCAGTTACTGGTGGTTGCTGCGCAGAAAACATAAATATATGCATAAATGATAAAGGGACTTAAATATAATAAGACTGCCAAAATTAATTTTTTTTAAATTTAATATCAAACATAATTACGTGGCATCATAAGAATATTTTGTCAAATCTGGAGCAGTTGGCATCTCTGCTTTAGTTTTACTGTTAGTTATTTCTGTTTTAAATGCTTTATTGTATGGATTTATTTAATTAAAAATGTATTTCTTTGTTGTTACTCATAAATTAATGCTTGATATTCAGAGTCACTAAAATGCAGTAGATATTTCTTATGTCAATTGAAGGAGTGCCAACTATTAGGATTTATCTGTAATTAGTATGTTTTTATGATCAAGATTATGGCTTACAATTGAGTAATACAGTTACAGTTTTTGAGAACTATTTCCTTTCTCAGAGTTACAAGTTTTTATGATTAGCAGGTAATCCACGATAATTCCTTTTCTACTCTTTAAACATTTTTTTTAAACAAAATACAAAAAATAAAAAAATTTGGATGAAACAAGAAACAAAAATTAAAAAGAGCACAAAGAACACTATCTCATCTACCAAACTATTTTTTAAAAACTTATGAAGGCAAAGTTTCAAATTTTACCAAAAACTAGAACAATGATTCCAAGTAATCAATTAATCTTTTGTGATGAAGTATAAAATTTCACACATTTTTAAATTTGGTACATTTACTCAAGTTTTACTTTTTTTTATTTAATAGTAAAATTCTGGCATACATTTGTTAATAATTTACACCCATATAGAATAAAATAGTATTTACGCCTAATAATTTTCCTAATACTAACTTCTAGTAACTATATTTCTGTGCTATTATACTTCTGATTAGAGACAGCTAATTCAGAAAGTTGTCACTTTTGCAAATATATTAAGAACCCTAAATTTATTTATTTAAACAAAAACACTTTAAAATAACTTTGTTATTAGCAAAATTAATCACACACTTTATTTTATGGTAGAAAACAGTTTAACAGATTACAAACTTAAGAAAACACTTTATTTTATACTATTTTATACTAATTTGTTGCATATTGTAGGTAATTAAGCAAACACATCCTTACTTGAGGGCAAATTCCTTCAACAACATCAATAAGAATGACAGCTCCATCACATAAGCGGACAGCAGTACAAACTTCACCAGAAAAATCCACATGACCAGGAGAATCAATGACATTTATCAAATAATTTTCATTCTCTTAACAAAAGAAACAAAATCATTTATAAGAATAAATTACATATTATCTATGAACTGCATAATTTAAATGTTCATTTATAAAATGCCGGTTTCAAATTAATAACCATATCTTAAGCAAAATGTATTCAACTAGATTATATAACGTATAAATAAAAAATAAAAATAATAAAAGCTAAATTAAAACATAAATTTTGTATACCTATTTCAGTTTTAAAAAAATTTAAAGTGCATTAATTTTTACAGCTAATATTGAAATCTGGAGATAAAAAAAAATTATCTAACTGTTAAAAACATAAGGGCATTCTCAGAACATTTTTATGTCACTGTTTGCTATAAGAGAAAAAAAAAACATTTAAAGCATGACGTTATTTGTCAAAAATACAATACACTAATGATAAATAACACTAAGTTTCTAATACATAAAAAGTTGCTCAAAAATAAATCCAAAATCATAAGGAAGGTGTGATTTTTCTCATGTCACAACAAATAAACTAATGATTTCGAGCATTCATATTTTAGTTTGTTTTGTTTTTTTTTTCAAAAAAACCTGACTTGTACACATAAAACAAAAATGAAGGCAAACTATGCAAGGCTAAAAATGCAAGGAATTTAAAAAGTTTAAGAATCTTTTTTTCAACTTTTGTCACTTTTTTTGATTTTTAAATGTGTAGTCTGAAACCATAATGTGCAATCAGAGCTCCATCTCTAAGTACTTCACATTTTTCAGTCATACTTATGTTTGCAATTTGCTGAAAAAAGAATTAAAATTGTGCTCCTGCTACTTTTTAGTCAGCTGAATTAATTTATAGCGCTTATTTTTACAAACTATTAGTATTAATAATGAAAATATAATGGGGCTGAAAGGGTTCGAGATGAAATATGCTTTTTGAATAAAATGCAACCGACAACCTTCACCCTAGTGAGAGGAGCGTTAACCGACTGTAACACCATTGCGCAGAAGAGAAGTGCATAATGGTTCATTAATAAAAGAAGCAATCTTAATCAGAAAAAATTCCAAATATTATTAATGCATAACCTTGCATCATGCCATTGGTCTGGAAATTGTGAAGCCTATGGCCCCCTGCCCTTTTTTTTCTTTTTGCCCAAGAAGCATCCTGCCCTTTTTTTTCTTTTTGCCCAAGAAGCATCCTGCCCTTTTTTATTTCTAGGGAGAACTTTGCTTATTAATTACTCTATACAATTTTAAAAAAACGGAATAGAAATAAATGTTAAAAAGAAAATAACTTCTAAGTCCTTTCCCTTTTAATTTTTAAAATTTAAGTACTGATTAAGGTGATTAAACTTAAAATATTTTACCTTTTTGGTAGTAAACAGAAACAGCACTGGATTTCATGGTGATCCCTCTCTCCTGTTCATCTTTTCTACTATCCATATAACGTAGCTAACAAAGAAAATTCTTCTTAAAAATTTATCTATCCTTAAAATTATCATATTTCATAAGAAAAATTTAAGAAAGGAAAATAAATAAAGCTTTATCTCTAAAAACAAATAACAGATTTATTTTTTTCTCAAAATAATTAAATAAAAACAAATATGTCTGCAATGGGATGGGTTGCCCATTAGAAATAAGAAAGAAGGAATAAGAAAGGAAAATAACATTAAGTGAAAGTCCAATCAATTATTTACTAAATTTTTAATTACATTTTACTTTTTATTTGCTGTGTTGGTAGACATAAATTAGATTTTAATTGATAGTAACATAATTTATGTGATTGGAGTTTTGAGATTCGAACAAATAAACTTTCCCCTAAGACTTACAACCTTATAAAACCAATAGTTGAGAAAATAAAATACTCTCTGGTGTAGACTTTGGATAACTTGAATATTAAGAAGGTCCCCATTAGTTCAAACTGTGTCAGTGCAGGTAATTTTCAATGTGTTACATTCATTACCCAAAAATTATATCGATCCAAAAATTACATCTCTTACTCATTCAGTTGATAGACAATGACCTTAAAAAAGTGCTCCAAATGTTTAAATAAACCAACAACAAAAAAATGGCAAGAAAAAAAGAGACCCGAAAAAATTACAGCATACACAAAGCAAATTTGGTTGTTAGGATTGTTTCTTTACAAACTTTGAGAGATTTATGTACAGTAGTTTTTATGATACCTACAGTTCCTTATTTGATTACTTTTTTCTGGTCACTTTGCATATAATAGTAATTTTAATATAAATCTTCAATATTCACCCTTTATTATTATTATTTTTTATCAAAGTGTTTTACCTGACCAGCCATTTTTTGGGATATAATGCCATTGCTTGCCAAAAGTGAGTCTGCCAATGTTGTTTTTCCTAAATAAAGTTTTTAAAAAAAATTAAATTAATGAAGAAAAAAAACTTTATACATGCACTGCTATTTTTATATAATCTTCTAAAATAGCATAACAGTAAGAAATAAAACTATTAAAAAATGTTTAAATTTATCAATGAAATAGAAGAAAAAGGCAGACTACATACCATGATCAACATGAGCTAAGATACAAATATTTCTTATATTTTTGGGGTTCTTTTGCAGGGCAGCTAAAATTTCTGGAGAAACCGCTCGCATCTTCTTGAAAAACTGAAAGAAATTTTTAATGTGTCTAAAAACATTCAATAATAACTAAAATGTTTTTAAAAAAATAAATAAATAGAGAAATATCTGTAAATTTTAATAAGATTCCAAATTCAGGGAGGGCGAGCCTAAAAAATAATGCATAAAATATAACTGAACAAACACAAACTTTAATAAATATGATTAAATTACTTTATTATTGCAATGAAATACATGCAAAAAAAATATTAGAACTTTAAAAAAATAAACATGATGTTGGAGATATTTAAAATATCAACAAATTTTAAAATAAATTTTGAAAATTTTAAAAGCTTCATAATTCAGTAAATTTTTCTAACAATGAATACAATAAAATTGAGTGCTCATTTTTAAATTATTCAATTTAATTTAGTCAGCTTAAAATATTACTTAATGTATTGATGATTTCCAAAATATTTTAATTTTAAATTTACTTATAAATATTGGTAAATAAGCAGTTCTTATCCAATGGAGGTATTCTTTCCTCACTAAAAAATTTTCCTACTTCTTATTTAAAGAAACATTATTATTTCTCTACCTTTACAGGTGCAAATGAATCTCAGGCAATGTAGCAACAGAAAAGAAAGATAACAAATAATTTTATTTCACTCTATTTCCATTAAACACTTTTATCTTTAATAAACAATATATAATCTCATTTTTGTACTTTAATATAGAAAGTGAGCTTATATTCTAATAAACAAGATCACCATCTTAAAGCTAAATTCCAATTAAAGTATGCTTTTAACTTATTTATTTTCAAACTATAAAATTTTAATACACTTCTGATTACACATTGATCAAATTTTCTCTGTTTTATTAATGATTTTGTATAAAAATTTATAAGTTTTTAGATGTCTTTATAAAACTTTAAAATGAACAAATAAAAATATGGAAAGGATTAGATTTTCCTAAAACATTTAGTATCTGCAAAACAAAAAAAAAAAAAAGTTATCTTAGTAAATCTAAGTTATCTAACTAAATCCATTTCCCTAAGTCCAACAGTATTTTAAAAAAATTCAAATTCTGTTTTATTTAAAGTATATTTTATTACATTACATTATTAAAAGCTAATTGTGCTTAAAACAAAAAAATAATTTAAAACAATGGGAAAACTTTATTGTCATTGATATCAAACATAAACAATAAGTAATTTTGGTTGATTATGTCAGTAATGATAAGTCAATTGTAATCTAATGAGGCATTTATTAGTTTATAGTCATACAAAACATTAAATTTTAATATGTTCCCTTCAGTAAATAATTAGGAAAAAATAAGTAAATATATATGTAAAAAATAAAAATATTAGGAAAAGATAGCATGGCCCTGACATTGTATAATCATAAATATAACTTCATAACATTTACTTTTTTGCGTAATTCATGATCTATGCCTTTTTTTAAAATTAACTGAAATGTATGGAAGAATGAACGAGCATAAAAAAAAAAACTTCATATAAAATAGGAAAAAACAGTTCTTCTTATAAAACAGGAAGAAAAAAAATAATTGGGATATAAAATATCAAAAATTATACATTGTGAAAATAGATATATCAATTTTAAGAGATTAATATCTAGAGTCTATCAAGATTTTTCCTTATTATGTTGTATTGAAAAAAACGAAGAAGTAATTCATCTAGTTTTCACAACAATCAAATTTCTATTTTGTAAAACATCTGGCGAAAATTTTCTGTACATGACATTCAGTGATTTTCATACTTCAATGAACATATCCCATAGTCATTCAGATCGTCCTTAAAATTGTGATTTGTAAATGGGCATTTTTTAGATTATATCGAAACTTTTTAAAGTACCCGAAAATGAACCTTTTTTTTTTTCAATAAAAACAGGGCATTAAATTTTTAAAAAAATAAAATCAAGAAAACCTGAAATAAAAACCTGTTACTTATCCTTCTCCAAAATATGGAAGATATACCACACTTTTACGAAGACTTTTTACATAAAAATTGTTTCTCACAATGAAATTAATGAAAACTTTATGGTTTAATTACATCGGACAGATCCGTCAAGTTATATTTATTTACAAATTTTTAAAACATGCCTAAATCTAATGTTTACATTTTCAAACCTCTTTGTTGCCACCAAATTAAAAGTAATTAAAATAGTATTTATTAATTCATTTTAAAAGAGTTTGAAAACGTCTTTCCAGATTAATTTATGTGAAAAATCCAACTGAAATATATTTTGTCTTTTTCAGCAGGATTACTTGGTAATATATGTTAGAACAGAGAAATTTAAGACTGTGACATGGCATTTCAATTTTTCACTTACGTACAGAAATATTCTTCTTGTGGAATTTTATTAAGTAATGCCATGATTCGTTGTAAATATTAAGTACTATTAGAAAAATAAAACATTGTCCAATCAGATTTTAGAATTTTATTTCATCACTTCCTGTTCTGATTTTTGTAAAACTGTCTCTTACGACTCTTAAAACATTTGATTGACGGATTAGGCTTGAGTTTGATTTCTGCTTAGTTTTGGTATTATTATGACTGATAAATTGTGAAATACATGGTTTTACTACATGATTGAATCTATCCTGCTGTCATGGGAAACACTGATACTAAGCTGAATTTCAGAAAGGCGGTCATTCAACTCACGACCAAAACACAAGTAATCGGAAAAACGATATTTTGTCCAAATGCTAAGCATATTGCAATGTTTACCTTCTGTACCATATTTCGATATCATACTATTTAATCCGTTTAAAAATTGTTCATAATTTAAGCAGTGTACTATTTTCAAGTTTTTTACTTTGTCCTCTCATTATTATTTTGAATCTTCCCTGAAAATGTTTCAAGTTCTTTTTAATTTTTTCTGGTACATTCCAAATTAACCATGATTTCTTCTTTTTTTTCCCTCTCCTTTGGTAGTGTTGATACTAAAGAATTTGTTGTTATGCATTTTTTAATATCAACACTACTAAACTTTGAAATATACTAAAAAAAAATTTTTATAATAGCATTTTTTATTTATTTATTTATTTTTTTAAATTTTAATATTGAAGAATATATTAGATTTTACAATTATATGCTTTCATAATCGTAATAATATTTATTTTCTATTAACTGCTATTCTCTCAAAAAAAGATTTGAAATAAAATCATGCCTTACAGCTCATAAAATATTTGTGATAATATTATTGTATTCTTTTAAATCTTTTGTTTAAGTGGCTGAAATTTTGTCTCTCTTTAAAGTACTTCTTCTTATTTACAAAAAGTAAATGATGGTATCTTATTTTATTGTAACGTTTTGGGGAATGTTTTATAAATTTTTTCATAAACAATCTTATTTCAAATATGTTGAGGATGATTACAAATTTAGCATCTATTATTGTAGGCGTGGTATTAATCTTAAATATATTTGGTGCAACCAAAGGTAATTTACAGAGAAAGATATGTCAATTTTTTTAAACTAAATATTTCTGAGTTGGCAATTTAGGATAAGTAATGTTTTCTTTATTCAATAAGGCATTCATGGTTGAAACACAATTTTCACTTTAACCAATTTGCTTGATTGTTTTTAAATATCAATTTTTGTTACAACAGTACCTGATTAAGTTGGCTTAAAAAAAACACTGATCAACAGGGAAATTTTTCTGCAAATGTTAGAAATACTGTGAAATTTATTGAATGACATACTTTTAATATTTTTATAAACATATATATTGATATTTACTTTTTTGAATCAAATATTTTCATTAAATGATAAAAACTATTTTTTAGCCCATTGAAGCAAAAGACGATGTATTTTGGGATCAATTTTGGTCAGAAAGTACTCAGAGTGCCCAAGATGTTTTTACTCTTATACCTGCAGCTGAAATTCGAGCTCTACGTGAAGAATCTCCTTCTAATTTAGCCACACTTTGTTATAAGGCTGTTGAAAAACTTGTTGCAGCTGCTGATAGTTTGTGTAACACCTATACACAACAGCAAACAGGCAAGTCTTATTATATGACTGTTTTTAAAATTTGTATTTGCTAATGTCAATTTCTTTTAGGCTTTATAATTCTTAGAAAAAATATCTAATTAAACAAAATAAATTTTTTATATTAATTTATTTTTCATATAAATTATTTTAATTAATAGTTTAATAAATTTGAGTGAGTTTTAATAAATTTGAGTCTTTTGTAACTGACTTATCATAAGTTCCTAACTTATTGAAATTATTATAATAGAATTATATCTAACTCATTGAAATTATTATAATTTTATATTTAATATTTGCCTTAATTTTTTCAATAATAGTAATAATAATTTGATTTTATGATTCTAACTGTTTTTCTTTCTTCTTTAATCATTAATAAACATTGCTTTTTGTTGTTGATCATTTCATTAAGTATAAATTTTACTGAATACAGTTAAAAAAGAAAATTAGTTTTGTTTATTTGTAGAAATCATGCATTTTTTTTTCCAGTGTTGAATTGTGTGAGACTTTTAACAAGAATATTGCCATACATTTTTGAAGAGCCAGACTGGAGAGGATTCTTTTGGTCTAGTCTTCCAGGAAGGTCTAGTGATGAAACTGATGACGAAGTATGCCTTTTGTTTAGTTATATTTTCAAAAACAGGGATGTGTTATGCATTTTTTTTTAAAATTAAGGATACTTAATATTTTTTTTTGTAGATGCTTGTAGCATCTTAGATTTTTTAAATGAATTAAATATTTTTTCATTTAATTAAAGTGTTTTCATTCTTTCAGGCAGAAAATATGCCTCTTTCCCAGTCTTTGATAAGTGCTTTGTGTGTAAGTATTTTTTTTCCTTCACCTACAATAAATACTTATTTTTCATATTTATTTTTATATTTTTTAAAAAATATTTTTTGAAAAGGGCAATTAAAATGCATAATTAAATACATTATTCAAAATTAATCATGTTTGAGAACAAAATATACTTGTCCAACTATAAATAAATAACATTAATAACCAATTTTAATTTTACATATAAGTTGCATGCGCCCCCCAAGCATTGTTAAGCACTTCTCATTTTTTTGGCCATGAGATCAAATTACAACAAGATTCTTAATGCTATGTAAATTTGACCTCAGTCAGCTAAAAAGTACAGCACCCAAACAGGTATCCATCTTCCTCAATAGTGTGAAGACTTCAACTGCAAGAGATTTAACACACCACTAGGATTTAACTTCTGATTCATCGCTCACCAACAGCTGAATTAGAGGAATGTCCTAATGTCCACTCAAAATGCACCTATAAATCACATGCAGCTTTGTTTACTTACCATTATTTACGAAGTGTTCAAAATCTTTTCTGGATGTTTAAAAAAAAATTCATCACAAATTTTGATTTTCTTTGCCAGATAAATCTAAATTGGCACTTGAATTTGTACAAGTTATTAGTTCTGTTATGTGTAAGTTAATTGAGCTAAGATAATTTTCAGGAACTGCAAAATTTATTGCATACCTAATTACATTTGCTATAGAGAAAGCAAATTTTGAATTTATTATTTTTATTGGGTATTTGTATTTATACTTAAAATTGTTACTATATTTATTTTATTATTTACTTTTATATTTCTTTTCATAGGATCTGTTGTTTTGTCCAGATTTTACTGTATCTGCTGGGAAAAAATCTGGGCCAGTAAGTTAACTCAATAGTCTATAGGAAACTGCAGCTTATCTGTCTTTTTACACTAACAATAAGTATTTCTTTCAACTAATCGTTTTTCCAAAAGGAATATTTTGAAATAAAAAGAGAACATTTGTTTATTTAATATTTTTCTTTCATTTAACCAAAAATAAGACAAATGTTTCAGTTTAAGAACTAAACTCTTTGTCATAATATATTCAACATTCCTTTATTTTTTGTATTCTATCTCATATTTATGGTACTAAAATAATTTTTAAACTGTATTATTTGAGACTTAAAATTATAAAATGCATTAGTGTGCAATTATTCTATTTTTTACCTCTTGAGCTTGAAGCCAGCTGGCTGAATTCTGTATTGTTTACGTACTGTTTTCTCCACTGAATTTCATTAGGGAATGTTAATTTTCTTTTAATATTTTGAAAGTTAAATTGAAATCTGTGTTTGACTTCTAAAAGCAGTATAAATATGAGGCCCGTTTTAAAGATAGTGTGTTTAAATAATACTTTATGGAAAATTTCTAAAAAATGATAACATAACAAGTGTAGTTTTTTGGAGGGAAGGGCATCATTATAAAGGCCTAATGTACTTACAGCCATTGAAAGATTAATGGAAAAGTCTAAATCTAATCTAATCTATCTAAATCTAATTTGCATAATCTCGTAAGACTGTTATACATTAATGAAAGTGTGCAGATATTTATTACCATTTTTTTTTTCAGTCATAATCTAACTTTGAATTTAATTTATCTTCAACCATTTGTATCAAACTTAGTACACTATACTACTTTTTATTACTAACAAAAAATTTATAACAAACACTTTGTTAATTTAATTGAACACATTTTTAGGATAACCCTGAAGATCTCCAGTCTATTGACAGCTGTGAATACATATGGGAAGCTGGAGTTGGTTTTGCCCATACCCCAACTCATGTACCTCAACATGATTACAACAGGACTGAAATTTTAAAATTGTTGCTTGCCTGTTTTAGTCAAACTATGTATATGCCAGCAGCAGGTTACCTGAATATTATATTTACTTCTTAATGCTTAAATTTGTACATTTAATATTTTTTGTTTGGATGTCATGACATAGTTTTATTTTCTTTCTTATTATAATGTATTTTTAATAATGACAGTAAATTTAAAATATTTTCAACTATTGCAGATGTAAATCTTAACCCAAACAAATGGATTCAATATTTCACATCAGCTGATAACAGGTAAATAATTAAAAATTTTATGATTATTTTTATATCATATTATAATGAATTTTATGATTATTTTTATATATATATTGATTTTGTTAAATAGTTATATGAATGATACTAAAGAATATTTAATACTTTCAAAAATTTGCAGCAGGTAATAGTATACCACTTGTCACTTCACGGGTGTAGCATAAACAATAGCTTCATCCATATAAAAAGTTTGGTTCACGAGCCATTTAGCTCTCAGCTAATATGGAAGGAGACAGAGAAATAGTGTGAAATAAATATTTTATTTACGGTATTTATTGTTATTCGCAAATAATTACTAAAAGATATTTAATTATGACCTTTAAGCAAATATGAACTATTATGGCTTTTTTCTAGAATTTTATCATTAAATTAGCATTTTATGAAATAAATTAACTAATAAGAATTAATTGATAATTTTTTTGAAATCACATTATCGATGGATGCCCAACAATATTATCACCTGGATGTCTAAATGCCTTCCAGATTCTTCGGCATTCTTTATGTCAATCAATATTTATCAAGTATCTAACAATATCTCTGTGCTACTTGGGCTCTGAAACTATCCAATTTTTTCTTAATTACATGACAATAGAATAAGTGTTTAATTAATAACTTATATATTTGAAGAACGGAAAACATCACTATTTTTTATAGATTTTTTTTTTTCTCAAAATGAACCAGTCTGTTTCAGTCTGGCAAAGTTCAGAAATGGAAGACCTGTTACTTTTCTTGGCCCATTAATCAATTTTTATCTGTATTTCTTATATGGATAATGTGCACATAAATTGCATATCTCTCTTCTCCTATGCATTTTTATTGAAAGGCTTTACATTAATATGTTTTAAATTAAATTATCATATATTAAAAAATTCAACTTAGTAAAACTATGTTGATTTCATTTCTTTTGAAGCAGATAAAAAAAATATTTCTCAGATTTACTTCAGTATTGCACTCTCTTCTAGAAAATGAAATTAATTAAAAGTTATTCTCTCTTCCAAATAAGATACGAACGTTTTTGAGCACTGCTTATCCAAATAAGGAACTAACATGTAAAGAAATCTTTGTTCTTGGCCCTTTTGCACTAAATTATGTGACTGGAAATGCTTAGTAATGTTTTATGAGTACTGACAATTATTCTTTATGGACTATGACTGGACATAATCTGTTGGTAATTTTTTTGATCTAGTTTACAAGTAAAGAATTCTCCTGTCTTAGCCCTTTATTCACTAGATTATGTGACTGGACATAATCTATTCACACCACTCTTTATATCTTAAGTTAATTGTTTAAAATATTTTAATTCTAAATGAATAATTGTTTTAAAATTTAATACTGTGGTGTGCAAATGTTGCTTATATGAGTGAAAAATAAATAACTGTTTATTAATGTAAACAAAAAGAACTATTTAAAAAAACTAAAATAAGCTGCAATAATTTTATGTTCAAATGTCTCCAGCCAGATTAAAATTTTAATTTAATTGAGATTATTTTTAATAAATATAATTGAGAAATTAAAGTAACAGTTGAAAAAATAAATTTTATAGCCATGTCTTTTTCAGCAATCATAGCTGCACAAAAGTGTGGTAGTTAATATCAATAAGGTAATAATGTGATATTATTTGAATTTGTTTATATAAAAAGTAGTATTATATTTGTTTTTCACTCACTTCAACAGCAGAAAGCTTAAAAATAATTTAAAAAATATACTGATCAGAGACCTTTGTATGCCATTGTATTATGTTCTAGAAAATATTTTTTAGTTTAACATCCTATGTTTTAAATATTGATGATTATTTTAAACGTCTTGTTTGTATTTGTCCTGATATGATATTAATAAGACTGAATGATATAAAATGTATTAGGTGGCTTCCTCTTATGTAGAAATTACTTCCATTTTTTTTATTATCCTTTATTGATAGATTTTTTTATATACTTATTTGTTTGCATGAATGTCACAGAATAATTATCAGTTCAGGTATCTGAATTGTTTAGATTTAGTTTTGGTTGAAATCAATGTAAATTCAGTTTAGTAAATTGAAAGTGGTATAGCATAAAATTTACTACTACTTCTACCAAAAGTAAAAAAAGTTGGCAACTCTGTGTATGCCATTTAAATCTCCTTCTTCACGTATATTCAATAGTACAGTAGGGAACCGATTATCCGGAACAATCGGGACCATCGCTATTCCGGATAACTGATTTTTACGGTTTTCTGAATCGCTACAAAAAGCAGTTTTTTTTATTGTTAAACCCAACTAAAAAAAATATTTGGAAATAATCTTAAAAAGAAGAAAAAACGATGAAGTAATACACTAATGATTATTTCCAAAATGATGGTAAGGTAAACATCTTTCAAGAAAGAAGGAAAAATCCTAAAATCTTATGAGGAAAAAAAAATTTTTTTTAAAATAATGGCGGGAAAATGTATCGAATTTCGTTCCGGTCTTTTGGTTTTACGATTTCCGGATAACGAGTTCTATACTGTATATGCATATAATAGATAATAACTTGTTAAAAATCGCAAAATTTTTATATTCAATATTTCTTTTCATAAAGCTATACATATTTTTTTTCTATGATGAAGTATTAATAATTTTATCCTTGAACTAACCACTTTAAATTACCTTTTTTCTTTTCTTATAGACATGCCTTGCCACTTTTTACATCTTTATTAAATGTAGTTTGTGCTTATGATCCTGTTGGATATGGTGTTCCATTTAATCATCTTTTATTCACGGACTCAAGGGAACCATTAGTTGAAGTTGCTTTGCAATTACTAATTGTATCTTTGGATCATGATTTTAGAGAGCCATCAAATGAAGAAGGGTCTGAAGTAATATATGATTTGCTGAAAATAAAACAATATAAATTTATTATAGAAATTGTTTTCTAATCATTGTTTTAAAATACTAAATAATAAAAAAATATACAAGTTTCTCATCTTTTCCGAAAATGTATTGTATTAAGTAAAAAGCATATAATTGATTAATTGAAGCTTCTTGCTAAAAATGTGAATATAATGGAGGTGTATACTATTTTGTGTAGTATTTTTTTTCTTTTTTAAGGTTTTTAGTAAATTCTGTTGCCATATTAAAACAATATGTTTTGATAAAATTCTGTATTTACATTGAAATTTATACGAAAACAATTTATTATATTTCATATAAAAATGAACAAATTACTAGAAATGAACATTTAAAACTAAAAATGTAATTCAGTCACGATTTAAAAAAATTATATTTATTAAATTAAGCAATTTCATAAATTTTCTTTTCCCTGATTAAAATGACAGCATAAATTTTATTTAACTTATAAGAAATTTCCAAATTGATGGGCATGCTACTAAAATGGACAAAAATAAAAAATGACTATTTAAAACTAAAAATATAATCCAGATGTATATAATTGATGATAATTGAAGATAAATATAATTGATGGAGCGAAACCGTACCTGCCAAATAGTGTAATTTTACAAATTTTCTTTTCCTTGATTAAAATGAATACAGAAAACCCTATTTTATGGATGATAATTCCCAGAATTAACAAGTTATTCCAAAACTGTTTGGTTATTTTGGTTAGAAAATATCAGAGGATGTGGATAGATGCAGTCAAGATCTCACAGGCTCAGATGAATTATGAGTTTTAATTGTTATGTGGATGGGACAGGAAATATTTTCTTATATTTATCCACTCCATAGCTCAGAGAAGCGAGGTGTATTCTACTCTCAGTTTTGCAGATTATTTGATTTTTGTCTTTGCGTAGTGTGGCTCATGGTGTCTCCAATTTAATAAAATAAATTTCTTGATCTCTATGAATTTGTTATTTTCAGCCTCTGACCGCCTAAAAAAACTATTTCTTTTTATAAGTTTGCTATTGTAGTATCTTTTTTATGTTATTTTTTTATTAATGAAAAAGTTTTCAGTTCTGAAATGTTGAATAAATGTCTAATCTGTGAATAACATTTTGATGAATTAAGAGATTTTTATTTGCCTAGTTATCATTTTCATGTAAATGGTTGGGCTAAAATAAGATTATTATTTAATACTATTTATTGCCCGTGTAACAAAATTACTCAATTAAAGACAGTGTTCTCTCATTGTTATTTTTTTTATGTGTATTTTGCCATTTATGTGAATGAAAACATTCTTTGTGTATAGTGTTTTAAAGTAATATTTCTAATTTTTGTTTCATTTCAGAAATCTTTCCCCAGTAATTTATTCATTAACTATTTATCCCGAATACATAGAGAAGAAGATTTCAGTTTTATTTTAAAAGGCTTTACAAGACTACTGAACAATCCTCTGATACAGACATACATACCTAATTCCACCAAAAAAGTTCAGTTTCATCAAGAGTTGCTGATATTTTTTTGGAAAATGTGTGATTACAACAAAGTAAGCATCATTAGTAGTGTTTATAAGTGTTTTTCATTATGTATTACATTTTTTTTCATGTTATTCAGTTTTGGTATTTAATAAGTGTTATTTTTTAAAATGATTGAATACTTTTATAAGTATTTTTTAAAAAAATTGTATAGTTTTCTATTAAATTATTGATTGAAAATTATGTGCAATTTTAATTAAAAATAGTAATATTTTTTACTGTTAAAGTCTTCCTCTTAATGTAAAGTGATTTTCCTTGTTATATTTGCATGGTTGCTAGCACATCTTTATATATATAATTAAAATAATTTAATTCTTTTATTTTAGAAATTTATGTTCTATGTTCTGAAAAGCAGTGAAGTACTTGAAGTATTGGTTCCAATTTTATATCATTTGAACGATGCTAGAGCTGATCAATGTAAGAATTTTAGAAAAAATTTTAATCCTTTTTTTTTTAATTTTTGCTTTGAAGGAATTCAATCTCTTGAAAATAATTTAGATATTTTTTGTGATTTGTTAGAGGGTTTTTATTTGTGTGTGTGTAACTAAAATAATACACATTGAAAGAACAAAATTTTCTCTTCTTTGTTCCTTCATAAATCACAACTTTTTGATATAAGAAAAAGATCACTAACTTATAAAATATTCAAAAATAGAAGTTGGGCTATTTTAAATTAAGAATTCTTAATTAGAAATAAGTTTAAATGATTTTGTTTCTGTTATCAATGTTATGACGAAGTTGAAAAAGAAACTGCTATTTAAAACTACTTCATAAAATAAAAATGCTACAGAAAATACTTACAATAAATAATAAAGTAAACAATGAATGATTTAAATATCATACATGCGAAGTCTTTTTCTTTCATTCAAGGGAAACCTTATTATTTTAAGGGAAGAGACCTCCATTGCATACAATGAGGAATAATATATCAAACATTTCATCTGTCTATTGAATTGAAAAAAAATCTTAAACATAAATGAAATTCTGCATATTGTTCCTTTAATTTTCTCATTGATGCATTTTTTTTTAATATTTACAATGAAATAGCAAATGAATTTATGAAATAGAGAATTTATAATACATAATGTTAATAATGAGAGGTTTTAAAAAATTGCAGTCCAGAAATTGGTTCTCAAAAATTGATCTGCATTAGAAATTTTGCCACTTCTTAATTTTCAAAAATAATGTGTTGTTCTTGCTGTGAAAAATGCATAGAAATGTGAAGGCAGGATAAAAAAAAATAATTTATGAATTCTAGGTTTTGGTGATGAGAAATTGAAATGAATGAAATTATACTATGTTGGGCTGTCCAAATGTTTATGGTGGTGAAGTTTTCTGTCTAATCTACGCTTAAGTTCAAAAGTCAGCAAAACAATTATTTTAAATATAATATGAATATTTTTTCATTTTGTTTATTTTCATATGATATGGATATAACCATTATATTAAAATGGTCGCTGTTAACCATTTTTAAAATAAACTGTTTAAACTATTAACTCTAATAACTTATCTAATTTTTAATTAATCTTTTTCTTCTTCTTTTCCTCTAATCCCCATATCAAAGGTATAAAAAACAACTGCAAGAAATATTGTCTCAAATTTTATTTAACAAAAATACTAAAATAAAAAAATAGGCTCTATGATTAATATTTATAATAATAATTATATAAATTATTAAATATATTATTTTTTAGTAATTTTTTCCTAATTCTTGCCATTTAAATATTTCTAATAATTCATAATTTTAGACACCACATGGAATTACTAATTCCTTGTTTGAGAAGAATTGTGGCATCCTTTCAATGAAATATTTGTTGTGTTTTCTTTATTATATCTGTAATTTTTAATGTATTACTGTAAGTAATGTAAATTGTTATTTGTTGTGTTTTTTTTTCTAGCTCGAGTAGGACTTGTACATATTGGTGTGTTCATATTATTGTTACTTAGTGGTGAAAGAAATTTTGGAGTTAGATTAAACAAGCCTTATACAGCTAGCGTACCAATGGACATTCCAGTATTTACAGGAACACATGCTGACCTGTTAATAATTGTGAGTGTCACATAAGTATTTTCTTTGTATTGACAAAAAACAGTCTTGTATATTTTTATATAAAAATATTTTTACCATACAATAAATTCTATTTTTTCTTCATTTAGGTCTTTCACAAGATCATTACTACTGGTCACCAACGGCTTCAACCCCTGTTTGATTGTCTTTTGACAATCATTGTAAATGGTAATTTATAAACTTGTGTACTTTTGTATTTGTTACTATAATCACAATTTATTTATTTTTTTTTAAATTATGTAAAAATCTTTTTTTAAAAAAGAAAAGCTATCTTTTTCATTTTGTAAAATTTCTTTCAGTAAATAACATTGTATTACTCTCAGCCAAATAATTTTACATTATTTAATAAAAATATAAATGGCCAGAATTAGAAATAATAAAAAAATTCTTAATCACTAATCATAAAAATAAAAATCTATTAAATTGGTTTTTGAATAGTTTAAATACTCAATTTAATATTTATTTTTAAATTATATTTTTTTAGCCTAATATTTAATTTAATAGTTGACATGGTTTTTATTTCTATTAACAAATTTTTTTTAGTTTAGGAACTGTTTTTTTTTCTTCAGTAGAACTAAAGTGATTTTCCATAAAATTTTCTGAATTATGAAAGATTTACATTTTTTTTAAAGCTCATTTGACTTCCATTACAAAATTCTTATAGTTTACAATTCCTTACATAATTCTATGTAATTATACTCTGTTTTTACATTTTTGCTTCCTATCTAAACTAACAAATTTTCTGCACTATTTAGATTAGAAAAACTCCATGTGATTTAGATGAAATAATTTGTCTATGTATATATATAACTTATTAAATGAACATTTCAAGCCTAACATTAATTATGATATAAATTTCTTTTAAGGATATTTTCTTAATAGATTATAAAAATGTGTTAACGATTTAATAAATAATTAATTATTTATTAATATTTTATTAATCCTACAACAAAATTTGAATAAAATGTAATGAAGTTTTTTACTGTGCTTTTTATGAATTATCATTTAATTTTTACTTTAGAGTGCATAACCTTTTAAAGAGCCATCGGAAAAATAATTTGGCATTCAGGGACTACAATGAATTTAAACTATGAAGACATAATGTAGAAAAAATATTTACAAAGTATATGTATAGTGTTTTTAGAATAATAATAATCAAAAAATGCTTTTAGGTTTTTATGTGTTTCTGTAATGTCATTTTATCGGATTTTCAACTTTTCTTCATTTATTTGCTTAACTTTTTTATTATTTATAAATTACTTGTTTACTTTTTGTTCTAGAAATTTCAAAATTTTTAATCTTTTGACACTTTGAGTTGGTACCTGTTGTTCATTCCTATGTATATGCATATTTTTCTGAATGATGTTCTTGCATTTCTTGTTATTAGCTTAATATATTTAAAAGTTACATTTTATTCTATACTTTTTATTTTAGCTTAACACTAAAGTACACACACATACATAATCTACACTTTTAGTTATAAAAAATGTCTTCAAAAATTTTTAAAATTTCAACAATATTTTGACACTTTGAATTGGTACCTGTTGTGTATTCCTATGTATATCCATACTTTTCTGAGCTATGCACTTACAGATTTTGTGATTAGCTTAAAATATTTAAAAGTTACATTTTGTTTGTTCTTTTTATTTTAGTTTCACCCTATTTAAAGACTCTTTCTATGGTTGCGAGTACTAAACTTCTTCATCTTTTAGAGGTATTGCATAATTTTTATTATTATAAAATTATTTGAAACTCAATTGACTAATATTCAAACTTATTTAAAAGTATTCCACTGTTTAATGTAGCATAATATATTTGAAAGACAAAATTTGGCAATTTCTGTAGTATCTTTGAGTATACCTTAAATGAATTAAGTTAAGTAGATTTATGCTTTTAAATTAAATTTGTTTAAAGAGAATAATCAACTAGCTGTGATTTTAGAGCGATTGCTAAACTAGATGAAAATATTTAATTTCTGATTTTTTTTCCTATGAAAATTTTTATAAAGAAAAGTGGGGAAGATTTTTTAGACTTCAATTCTTGCTTTATTTAAAATAAATTTATTTTCGCCTACACAATAGCAGAAAAACCAACACTATCTTTAAAAACAAATTTTGCATGAAACCACCATTACAATTACTAGAAAGCTAATAGCTAACTCCCTCATATGTGTGGTTTATGATGCATATTATAAGGGAATTATTTATGAACTAAATATAATTTCAAATTGTAATCCCTAAATCACAAGGAATTCGACTTTTTAAAAGAAAAATATTGATAATAAGTTGTAAAAAATTTTATGAGGGAAAATAACCAAATGCTGACATTTTAGTACAAATAATAATGCATAGGATGGTATTACTCACTAAAAAATTCTTTAAGGAAAGCAGAATTTATTAAGAACAATCGTAGATGGCAAGTCTCCTAAAGTTGTGTCGAATAAGGCTTAATGTAGTTTTCATGATTTCACACTTGGGATAAATGGGTGATTTCTCCAACAGAAACCAAGTGAAATGTTTGGTGCTTATCTAAGATTAAGTTTTTACACATTAGTTATTAAAAACTTTAAATGTGAAATATTATAAAGAAAATACGAACTTCTAACTTTAAATAAATATATTTTACGTAAAATAAGACTAAGTATTTTTCTTTTCTTCAAGTCATTTAAAAATGATCTTTCAGATTAAAATTGTTTCATTGAGCTGATATTTATCTTTTTAGGCATTTAGTACTCCATGGTATCTTTATACAAGTGCAACTAATCATCATCTTGTATTTTTTCTGTTGGAAATATTTAACAATATCATACAGTATCAGTTTGATGGTAAGAACTATTTATCCTTCAAGAATTAAAAATTCAACTACTTGTTGAAATATAAAAATATTATAAGTATTTTTTTTTTTTTACATTTTAGGAAATTCAAATTTAGTGTATACCATTATAAGGAAACGCTACGTATTTCACTCCTTGGCTAATTTACCTACAGATCATAGCACCATTCAAAAATCTTTGAGCAAACGTAACAAGCTTGTGCCCTCAACCAGTACTATGAGTCTTAATAGTTGTGCTTCAGGTGTAAATAGCCAAAGTATGGAAGGCTCAACTCCTGCTAAACCTGCTGAAAAGGGAACTTTAAATGCCTCATTAGCTGCTACTCCATGTATGTTAAAATTAATAGTATATTCATTTGAATTACTTTTTCTTCATAAGAAATTAATATAGGTGCTTAATGATACTTTATCTATTTATTGTCTTTAGCTATGATTGTCACTCTCATTTCTGTAGTTGTAAACTAACTTTAATATTTAGCTTAAATATATTTTATTTGATAACATTACTTAGTAACAATTATCAAGCTAAATTCTTCTAATTGTTAACCATTTTCAGGTATTGATAAAATGACTGAAAGAGAACGTGCTCATCCACCTAGTGCTCCCACCAGTCCTACTGAAACATCCCCTCCAACACTTAATGATTCTGGTGAAGAAACAAGCTGTGCCAGTAAAAATCCTAATACTGAAAGCTCATCTCAGGGATTAGAACCAGAAGGGCAAGAAATGATTAATTCAAATGTCACAAAAGAAGATTCCACTTGTAGAAAAAAAGTAAAATATTGTGTGATTAAAAATAAAATGGGGGGGGGTAAAATTTTTTATTTTTACTGTGGAAATTATTTCAAGCCAGTTATTTCTAGTTTTTAAAGACCTGAGAATGCCTAAAAACATTTTTTTAGAAGACTAGTAGTTGAGGTAGTGATATCTTTTTCCTGGCTATTATTTTTTTATTATTTAAAAATTAGATTTGACACTCCAATTCTTTTTCATTTCCTGAACTAAATTGGGGCTTACAATACAAGACATGGAAGAAAGTTCTGATTTTTGAAGTTTTTTTTAATCTGTTCATTTTAATTTTATTCTATTCTCACATCTTGATCCTAAAAATTTTTGATGCTATTTTTTCATAAATAAATATTGTTATAGACGAGAGGGTAAAGTGTTAGTATTAGTCTTGTTTGCTATTTTGATTATTTGAAAATTGAATTATTAATTCAATTTATGTTTCAAAATAAAGACGTAAATTTTTTTTTTTTTTTTCAATTAGCCAACATCACCTCCTCTGAGTCCAACAAACTCGATAGATTCATCTGGTTCAGAAGCAGCATCAACTGCAACCAATTCTTTTCCAAGAGCACGAGCTAGTTCTGCTGCAAGTTATTCCACTGCTAGTTCAGTCACTGGTGTTCCTCCAAGTCAGTGGATACCAACTTCTGATTGGGTTGTTTCATGGAAGCAAAAATTACCTCTTCAAACAATTATGAGGCTTCTTCAAGTTCTTGTTCCTCAAGTGGAAAAAATATGCATTGATAAGTAAATATGGCAAAAATTTTAATTTAATAAATCATTGTTTGAAGTCTTTCTCTGTTATAAGATATGGTGAGAAAAGAGAAGTAGACAAAATGAATCTTTTAAAATTATTATAAATCTTTGCTTCATGGTCACTTTTTACAAACATAATTATGCAAAGATTTAGAGGGAAAACAAGAGCTGGTTTTGAGAGGATGCTATGCTTTTTATACTATCCAAACAACTATAAGCTAAGGTTCATAATACTGTCCAAACTCTATATATACTGTCTATACAATTATATACTATTCAAGCTATATTTCTAAGTGTTTTTAAAATGCTTATTTTAATTCATTGTTGTGGTGTTTAAACTTTGACAAGCTCTTTGGTAGCGTTATGCCTTTTTATGTTTGTTAACAAAAAGAATGTAAAAGAAAAAAGCTAAAAACAGATATGAATTATTCATTTATTTGCAATGCCATTTCAACAAAAGATCTCTTTCTTTCACCTTTTCATTGTTTTTTTTTTAATTTTGTCCAAAAGAAAGAAGAAGAAAAAATGCTTCTCCATATCATGAAGGAATCTGAATTCCCCACACATTTGTTAATCTAATTGGGCAAATACCTTTTTTAACTCATTACATATCTCAGTGGGTCTGTATTTCACAAAATAATTTTTAAAAGTTAAAATACTCTCTTAAACTTCAATTACTTAGACCTTTTTTTTAATAGTTTTATAATTTCTTGAATCTGTAATAAAAAAGAGATATCTATGTTTGAAAAGAAGTTGCTTGAATCATCCAGACCAAAGAAGTAATTTTGTATGACATTTGAGCATAGAAAAGAAGCTAAGAAGAAAAATTTGAGACAGTGGCTAATTAAAAAAAGGTTAAAAGAAACTGATACTTATTAGAAGTTAGTTACTGTGGACAATCATATTGCAGTATGTTTAAAAGTTATATATCTATGTAACTTTTAAAATGTCAATACATTATTTTGGATAAAGTGCTTAAAAAATATTGCATTTTTAGTATTGCAAATTTGCATCCAATATTAATTTGTTGCAATAAATTACCAATGTGTCTTCAAAGTTACTTAATTAATTGAAGAAATTCATTAAAAATCAAATCATTAAAATTTTGAATCAGTGAGAAAGACATTATAAAACTAAAAATATAGTATGCTGTGATTTCTGTGGTACTATTTGTCCTTTATTCACCTTGTCTAGTTTTCTTTTCATTTTTAACACAAAATATACCTATTCTTCATTTGGACACAAATAGTTCAATAAGTTAGTCCAATTTAATAAGGTCAAAAAAAATTTTAAATTTTATGTTAACAGTTTTTACACAATTTAAACTATAAAATTTTAATAACATTGGTTTAATAGTTTCTGAAAAATGAAATTTTAAAAAGCTGTAGTTTTAAATTTTTATTTCTGAATAGGTGTTTGACAGGTTTCCTTTTATATTTTGTCATTCTAAATTACTTAGTTTAAAATGAATTAAATATTTGTGTACCTGACAATTTAAATATTCTTCGAACATTTTTAAATCAAATAATATAATTATCAAAAAATATTTTTTGCATAGAATTATCTTTGGATAAATTTTAAAATTTAATATTTTTATATACACTTAAAGTGATAAGTGAGAATGACATAACACATATCAAGTGTATTAGCAATAAGAGGATCCAAACGTTCAACTGCTCGCGTCCTCGTTCGACATTAAATTTTGAACCATTAAGATTCACATTTTGTTAAGTTCAATCATTAGAACACAAGTTATACAGAATGCTATTTTTTGTGCTTGCTATTCACATGAAAAAATGCGAACTGAACCAAAATTATTTCATTTGTCATCTTTTTTTGAAATCTTAATTATTATTTTCTTATATACAGAGGGCTGACAGATGAAAGTGAAATTTTGAAGTTTTTGCAACATGGAACACTGGTTGGACTTCTCCCAGTCCCTCATCCAATACTAATTCGAAAATATCAAGCAAACAGCGGAACAACTATGTGGTTTCGTACTTATATGTGGGGTGTTATTTATTTACGGTAAGTTTGGTTTCCCTTAATGGTAGCAGTATAAATACATAACATTTTAAAATTAATTAATCGTCATTATAAATAATGTTTCAGTTCAGTTGAGCAAATAGATGTTCTCTATTCCTCAATGAAAATATTAAAATACTGTTAGTTATTTAAACTTGGTAAATTTATAGTATATTAATTTTATAGATATATATATATATATATATATATATGTCAATAAATGAGAAACTATAAACTTATAAATGTACTATAAACTATAAAAATGTTCATTTACCTGAGAGTACCTATTACAAAGCTGTTGGTTAGAGATGAGATTTAACTTTGAATTTGAAATAATTTCAATATATTAATAATTTTATACTTGAAAATTCAAATAATACATTACAATCTTTTTCTTCATCAATTATTAAAAAGCTAATTAATATCGATTGACATTTTAGGTCGCAATTGTGACTCAAATTTGTGTATATAAGCATTGAAATGCAATACAAGCGGTATTAAATCCAG